TTGGCTTCAGAAACCACTTTTGCACGTAGCGAACAATGTTGTATGAACCCCAATTGTTGTCAACTGTCCACTTCTGTTTTTCAACTCTACTTTCAGTGATGTTGCAGCTAGAGTGGAACAAAATCTGATCTGGGATGCTGGGTGACCTCTGATTTAGCAAATTGTCCCAAATAGCAAGCGCTAAAATTGTTCGTACTGACACATTGTGTGCGCTGTTGGTGGGCGTGTTGCAAGTGATTGGGACCTTTTTAGTAAGATCGGAAATAGAATGTTCATTCACTTTAACAGATTGTTCACGATGTTGGCAACAGGTGTAAAAGTGGTGAAAAGGGAGTGTTGTGCTCTGACTTGTTTGATTTCACCCACCCAGAGTGTATGTCAATTTGGTGTGGATGTATGTCTCCATCTTGTGTAACATCGTCTTTCAAACTTGTTCCGGCAAACCTGGAAAACTGCCCAGCGATAGGTCAGCATCGATTGCCGGCAAGGTTATTCTAGTTTACAAAAACAAACAAAATAATTGACAACACTAAATGGAATAAAACCCAAAATACTTTGAAGAAAACAAAGGCCAACTGAAATTGAGTAAAATCAACTACACTTACAGTGAAAATGTCCTTCGTTTTTGTCTTTGTCATTATAGATGAGCTTTCATTTGAAATATATTAATTTTGGTACTGTGGAATGTCAAAAAGTTGTTGAGAATTGGATTTTATTACACGATACCTCCTCCTTTTTTTTTTTTTTTTTGCACTCGACAAAAACTATATAATATATTAAGAACAATTTAAACTACCGGGAATACAAAATAAATCAACACTAGACTAAAACAAAGTATTTTCAAAACAAACACTTCTAAAAATTAATTAAAACTAACTGAATTTAAAAAAAAAAAACAGAAGTCAGAATAATTAAAAAAAAAAGTCACTATAATGAATAATCAAAACTATAACGATAAATATCAGTGTATTTTTTTAACATTATCATAACCGTCAAGCAAGTTCGGCAAAAACAAAACAGTCTCCCATGACTTCGTGAGATCTGGTAGAGCTGCAGTCTGACTGTTACCGGTTACTTGCGGGAGGCAACATTCTGCAACAGACTAAACTGCGCTCGTTCGTCAGCGTGGGCTTCTCCGTTGTTTGAGCATGTGGCGATAGCTCACTGAGAGCATGCTTGAGTAGAAAGTCGACTTAATTGCTTTTGAACGCAACTGGCCCTCATTTGTGTTCCTCTCTTAAAGTGATGGTTAGGGTGATGTCAGCTTTCCAGCTGGGTGGGAGACAATTATATTTTTGGGGGAGTGAGTCAATGCCATGGTCCACTTCAGTTCACCAAAGTTCTCTAAGGACTACTCCTCGCGCGTGCGTGCGTGCGTGTGTGTGAGAGCTACATAAAAGACATGGCATCCAAGCGTGGTGGCAGTGTCATCAGTTGCTAATTAAAATAAGAGAGGCCACACAGTCAACAATGGATGACATCTTTGTTTTTGATGTGTCTTTAATACAAGAGGGCAACCTGTAATTTTTGTTTTTTGCCCCTTCTGGCGGTGAATAATCTCCCTCAATCAACTCACTGCACTGCGTCTAGCTCAGCCATACCATTTTTCCTGCTACACTTACTCTAGGTACCAGAAAGTGGAACTATCAGTTCTTCTGGTAATTAGCATTTTTTTTCAAGGCTTTTTAAATGTTTCTCACTCTTACTTGGTAGTAATGCTTTCCTGTCCGAAATTTGTTACACAACTGTAAAATGAACAACTGTCTTTGCAAGCACATTAAACCGTCATCTTGAAGCTTTGGCTCAATGTGCACAGGAATTGTCTTTACAAAGCTGGGTGAAAAAAAAAAGTTTGTTTTTATCTTGATGGTTGTCATGGAGAAACAGACCTGAAACCATGCTGAGACGCTGAGATAAAAGCCAGATCCCATCTCTGTTGGTCTAGACCTGCCCCGTCCACTGGTGAGCATTCGAATGGCCACGGGTCAAGTCTTTGGCCCCCAGTGGGTGCCGCATATTTGCATAGCTCAGGAACTGTGGCGACGCCCCTCACTTGCACCAAAGGAATTTGTGATGCAGACAGAGTTGCATTAAATGCTAATCATACCAAAGCTCTACTTGTTGACAACAATAGATAATTGGAGGAAAGGGGTGGGAACACCCGAAAAGCTATACGCATCCCGAGAAGATAACAAGTCAGTAAATGTTAAATCTTCATATACTGTAAAGTACTTTTAGATGACTATCACGTTGTGCTAAATGGCGGCTTGGCCCCCTGTGCGAAATTCCTTCTTAGCGTCCGATTTGATGATTAAAGCGGCTCGCTCTTTTCCTGCGTCCTTCCTTTTTGAAAAAGCTCCTCAGCGAGTTTGCTAAGTTGACAAAAGGTGCCAAGTACAAACTTCCAGTCTGCTGCCTTGCCGCTGAAAACAGATAAGGAAATATAACAATGTTTGTATTCATTTGAGTTTATTGTGTTTTCTTGAGGTAGCTGGATTAGCAGGAAACCTACTTTCCAGGTTTCCATAAAACTTTTTATTGAGGGCCGTGTTTTACAATTTTGGGTGCTCATATGAATCCAAGATTTCTTTTCACTTCTTTCATGTTGCCTAGCAACTGCAGGGAGTGCCTTGGAGAAAGAAAAAACTGTTTAGTTTTAAATGCTTGTGTTGTGTCAATTATTTGATTTCTGTGGGACTTTTTGGAAGGTTGGAGTATGGACCACCACACCCTGGATGCTTGGCAGTCAATCGCAGGGTACATATCGAGAAAAAGCACATTTCACACTGTCATAGAGTGGTAACTGAACCCTCACTGCCTGCATGGGAGCACTGAACCACTACACCATCAGCTACCCAATAAAGAGTAACTTGCACTGTATTTTGAACACAATTCAAACTTCACATTCAGGGTTTTTCCTTTTGTCAATATTGAAAAAAGAAAACAGTGGCATGGGTATCTGAGAAGGCTTTACAGTTTAGTGCTCATCCAGTGCCGGATTTTTCGGCCTTGACGGTGGTCTTCTGCAGTTGTAGTCTCCAATAAACCTTGAACGTATGTGTGTGATTTGAATTGATACTGACTGCTGGCCAATTGGTGTGTGAGTTTGGATAACAAAAAAGTCGCCCTCCAGGAAGTGCCTGTGAAGTAGATTATTGCACAGGTGCTGAGGTCATCATAAATGATAGGAGCGTGTTCCTTTGACTGGTGGCTTTCCTTCCGTCTCTTTTTAAAAATGTGTGACTTTAAACTCCAAACTATGACGAAGACAGAGATTCCCCAGAGGGACTGATCTGTCGAGATGACGAGGTCACTGTTGCATGAAGAGGAAGCCTCCAGGGGACTCGGGATGCTACGTTTGGTCAAGAAAATGTAAATGCTGGTGCAAGTGTGGAAGACTGGGGGTGGGAAATAGCGCACTTTTCCTGTTGTGGAGGTCCCGCGAAACTGTCTGCGCTGAGCACTCTCATGCCTGCTTGGACCACGCTGGTGATGCTTGTCAGGTCAAGTGGGTCCACATTGAAGTACCGGTAATGGCTGTGTAAAGTGGATGGAGTGTATCGAGGGATTTGCTTCCTACATTAACACCTTAATTCTACACAGAAAGACTGTCTACTACTGACCTGTAGACATTCATTACACAAAGTGGGAGTAGTATTTTGAATTTGTATTTGATTTTTTTGCTTTCTTTGTGAGCTATATTACGCAAATAAAACCCTCAACCAATTGCCGTACAATGTTAAACAAAAACAACCTGTTAAATGACAACAATCCATAAAAATGAATATTAGGGAACATTATTTTCACTTTTTTGTCATTTGAGTTAGAGTAGAACAGTCAACCTTACAAACAGAACGCAAATGGTGTGGTCCATCCATTCAGTTTCTACTGTTCAGGGTCAGAGCTGGAGACGATCTCCGCAGGTTACGACTTGGACTGGTCAAGACAAAGAACCATTCATGTTGACAAATTAAGATCTTAATCTTCATATCTTCTGGTTTGCGCCATCAACCAGAAAGTAGCCTGCAAAATCACATTTTGAAGTAGTTAAGAAAACAATTATAAATTGGAGTGCAGTATATGGTTGTGGCCAGCAGAGGTGCTGTTGATTCAGTCTCAAGTGCCGTAGTTTGCTGTCGAAGGAAAGGTAACATTGTCACGTCATCTATATGAAGTAGAACTACTTCCACATAGACATCCATTTAATCTATCAGAGCACATGATACTAATTAGATTGCAGAACGCGACCAAAAAAGTCTTTGCTAGTCTTTTAGCCCTTCATTCATGCAAAAGTGCTGTGTCACAGCTGTGGGAACAAGAGCATGACTCCACTTAGCCCATCCATCCCTTTTATTTTTTTTCCCCCGTCCGCTATTCCCCAACGGGTGCAATGGTTTCTACTTGTGAGTCTGATTTCACATGAACCAGTATATGAGTCAGAGAGCGTCGCATTTGGGAGCCACAGCAGCCACAGGCAGTGATGAAATGCGTTTGCTTAGTTTGCTTCCAAAATAGTCAACTCTGGTGTTGGATATTCCATCAGTAGTAGAAAATTGATTTTACGAACCACGCCAACCGTATTGTCCCTAAAATCAACCACATCCTTCTTCTGGTCTCCAAACCCATTACTGCAAACATTCTACAACTTGCCGTTTTGCTGCAGTAAATGATATAGCTGTTAAAACTGCGAGCTGCAACTCTTCTGCAACAATAACAAAAGTTCAATACTATTTTGTTAAGAGGAACCATGTTTGGTAACTAATGTGGGTGTGCCACCAGGCAACTGCATGAATTCTGTTTCCAGTTATGACAAAGCATAGAGAAAATGATGCTGATAATATCTCTACATCTGTTTTTTTTTCCAATCTCGACTCCTACAGTAACCAAAACAAAAAAAAATTGTAGGAAGCAGGGAGCTTTTAGGTCAAGGTTATATAGCTGCTACATGTTCGTAAACTTTTTACCATTTGATTGATTTCCTTGTCCTGTGTCCCGTTTAGCGCCAGCGTGGTGGTGGGCGCTCCCAAGGCTCACACGAAGCAATTCGACATTGTTGAGGGAGGCTCCGTCTCCTACTGTCCGTGGAGCCTCGGCCAATCCGATTGTCACACCATCGAATTTGACACAGGTGGTAAGTGTCGTGACAGACATGCACGTTTACTTCTACGACGGTCTCAAGATGAGATATAGCAGAATAAAACGGGTCACCAAAAGTGGAATTGTAAAGCATGTATTTCCTGTCATCCAACTGAAATCCCTGCAAAGGATGTTACTCATAGTCTGCTAACCGACGTCATAGTTGTGATTAGCACATCTGCGTCATAGTCAAAAGGTTCTAGTTTTGATTCTCAGGCTGTCCTGTGTGGGTTTTGTTCTTGGGTACTTCCATGGATTCATGTGATTGTAACTCGAGACTCTAAATCGTCCATGGGTGGGCCTTCCGATTCACTGCGACAGTCGAGTTTGTCATCTTGATTGAGATCACCATGTGGGCCAAAAGGTATCAGTGATACCTCTTCAATTTTGATGGCGTTTTGATGCCATTTGTTTCCCATCGATTCAAGGACATTGAAAAGACAGCTACCAATGCCACTATCATTGCAATTGGAACAACTTTTATTGTACCTTTGCACTATTATAAACAATTTGGGAATTAACAAGATACAGAGGACAGACCTCTAAACATACTAGACACAATTTGTACAAAACAAACCTTCCGCGGATTAGTAATATATGCTAAACAAAGCACTTGACATATTTTTGGGGATACTAAATCCAAGATGTGGACTGAGCTGTCACATCCTGTTTTCCCAGTATTTGTTATACTGCTCGTAATAATAGACTTTACCTGCCTTTGTGTAGACTTGGTTTGTGGAGTCTTTCGTTCAGCACTAGGACGTGGTGGGGGCGTCATTTTTCCACTCTGCTGGATTCTTATCGGCTATGTCAGTTCCTGAACAAGAAATAAGCGATTTCTATCCTGTTTATGTCTGAAAAAGGCTAATTGGTTGTTGAGGAAAGGCTTTTGAAGGATGCTCTTTCCTTCCTTCCTCCAAGTCATGTTTGGGGGAGGTTTAGAGAGATAAGAAGTGAATCAACAAATAAGTGAGACAAAGCCATGTTTGCAGGACAGGTGAACATGATACCGGGAATCTTGACAAAAGGCCTGCAGGTGAGCTAAAAGGATAACATAAGGTGATTTAATGAATGGGCTTCTCTTTTAGGCGGTTGACAGAAGACCCGTCAGGCTTTTTTGTTCAAAGACAGCAAAGTGAAGACAGGAACAGTCAAAGGGAACACAAACTCCTTCGCAGTTACTGTTACAAATCGGAGCACCGCGGTTCAGCTCGACTTTATAGTCTGTTGTGAATAATCGGCGTCATATTCCAGTAAGTGTTTCACAAGACCATTTCACGACAGTCCTTTATTGGCTCTCAAGACTTTTTGCAACTTTTTTTCCTCACGTGTTAAATGTGTTGGACATCCATGGCATATGGCCGCAGGCTGTTGTGAGTGATGTCATTACAAGGTCTAATGACAAAGACGAGTCGGCGCTCTCCACCGGGGCAATCTGAGGGTGAAGTTGCTTGTTAACCATGATCCGAGCCCGTTCTAGCATGCAGAGCTGCGCTTCTGTGGAAGAATTCTGAAAACATCTGCATGTGACTTTTCGCCAAGCAGCTGTTGCATAGATGATTTTCAATGGTGCGATTCCTTTTGACTGTAGCTGTGATCGCACTTTGTGGGTCAGCTTCAACAATCCAAGGAGTGATCCAGAAGGATGATGGCGAGTGTTCCTGGTCAGCATTTCGGATGCTTGACTTTTTCAGGAGGATGCTTAAAAGTCATGTTCTTTTGGCAGGTGCACAATTTTCAGCCTTAGATTAAGAAAAAGTGGAATTACTGAATTTTTTCATCCGTCCATCCATCCATTTTCAACACCGTTCATCATGAACAGGGTGCTGGAGAGTTACTGGAGCCTATCCCAGCTGACTTATAGTGGAAGTCAGACTACACCCTGAACTGGTCTCCATTCAGTTACAGGGCACAAAAGCAAACAGCCATTCACAGCGACGTCCACACCATCACTGAGTGGTAACAGATTCCAGGCGGACCGCACACAAGTCAGGCGAGTGCACCACTAAACCATCAGCAACTTACTAAATTCTTGTCTTCAGTAATTTATACTCAGCACACAGCAATGTACTGTTTCACATTTATCTTTGCCTCTCACTTCATGTCCGGAGGGAATGTGATTCCCAGGAACTTGAAGGTATCAACGCAGGTCAGTTGGATCATATGAGGGGGATCTGTGACGAAGTATGTTTCTTGAATTCCACGATCATTTCTACTTGAGCGTGTTCAGCTCCACTTCTTGTCGGTGCGCAGACTCGTCGCCGTCTTTGATGAGGCCAATGACGGTGGTTTCGGCTGCGAACGTTGTAAGCTTGACGGCTGGGTGCGTTGAGGTGCAGTTGTCCATGTAGAGGCAGAACAGCAGCGGAGAGAGGACGCATCCCTGGGGGACCCCAGCGCTGATTGTGCGTATTGACTGCAAACTAGTTGAGACCGAATCAACAGCACCTTCGCTGGTTGCGGTTGAGTACTGCACGCCGTTTTACTTCAAATGTTGCTCCAAGACACAGTCATCAAACAGGTCAGCAGAATTGTTGATGATCGATTAAATGACTCTTATGGCCATCCGTAATGTAAAAATACACTGACCAAAAAAAGGGTTCTGACATTTTTGTGTATCTACTTCAGTGCTGGTATCTAAATGCTCGGTGAGTTTGAGCTCTGACCCACAGGCCAACGACCCTCTTAATTAGTCAAACTAATTGGGTCAAAGTGCCCCCCCCATCCACTTCCTCTCCCATTGAGATAAGAGCCAGACTATGGATGGGAGAGGAGGTGTGGTGGGTGAGGGCACCAAGGAGGCCACGAGAGGATCCCATTCAGGATGGGAGGAAAGGAAGAAGAAAAGGGGGAGCTGCCCCCTCCAAACACAGGGCATGTGATGAGTGAATTTGACCATTTGTCTTCTAACCCCCAGACACACAAACACACTCACACAGTCAAAGGCTACACACCCATCTAATGGCTAGGAGCTGGTCTGTGTGAGCACTGCACACCCCCACACAGCAGGTCCTGTCCCGGGAGAGGCTTGGTTGAGCACCAAGCAGCACCCCCAGAAGGGCTCTGGTGACGTCATGTTATGAATGACCAGTTTGCCCGCTATCTCCCTTTAGAATCTCGACTCTTTTCATCTGATTGTTTGCCACGTGACTCTCGCTCGCCGTGTCAAGACAAACAGAACTTTTCATTGCCGGTTACAGTGAGTGACACCAGCTCCTGCTTGAGTTAGCCCGATTGAAATCCAAGGCTTCAATAAAAATCATCCAGCCCCACAATTCAAAACATAAGCATCTCTCACCTCCCCCTTCCTTCCTTCATGTTCGGTAATGGTGATGCATTAATGTGTCCCTTCTGTGAGTAATGTCAGTAATGAGCTCAAATCCATTAGGCAAGCCAGAGCATTTACATCTTTGACTATTAGGTCCATTCTAAGTAGAAAATCAATCACATTTTGTTCCCATTTTACTGATGATTTATCACAAGGCATGAGTTATCGCGCGTATCTCAATATCTTTATGGCCCCTTTGATGCACATTCAAGGATCACACAATATATCATCCGGATTTCCCTCACAAGTATTATCAGTGTACGCCTATGACTTTATTGAATGGAGTTTCATGTCAGAGAAAACAAACTATGCTGATGTGCTTCTTCTTCCTTGGGGGTCAACAAATCAATAAGTGGAATGGAGGTACAAGAGCACACGCTTGATGTTATGTACCGTGCATTTGCGGGGAGATGACTAAACTGGACCTGGAAATCTCTTTTGCGTTCATGTCAGAAAAAAACTGTGAAGACAATACCATGATTTGGTGTCTATGAATACCCCGATAAATGCAATACAGTACTGCTACCTAGTGGACCATTGATACCAAACCCGATGACAAAGTAGGATATTTTGGCAACAGACTTGAAGGCTCATGCAACTGAAAAGGAACCGTATGCATGCATGCGACTCACTCTTACTAAAATTGGTGTTTTAACAATGCCACGTATCGCGTCAGTGCTGTTACTAAGTGATGGTGATTAATGATATACAGTGGTACCTCTACTTACGAAATGAATTGGTTCTGGAAGAAATTTCTTCAGTTGAAAATTTTGTAAGTAGGGACGCGTTTTCCATGTAAATGCCCTAATCCGTTTCCAAGCCGCCCAAAACCATAAAAATGCATCAAAATATGTAACAAATACATGTTAAAATTAGATTATTGCACAACAAATTAGAGTTGTGCGTAGTGTAAAAAACAAAGAATTTTCATCTGAAGAGACGTTTGTAAGTAGAGGTACCACTGTACAGTATATTCTCAAGGAAATTGCGAACTTGAAAGTTCATATAAGAGATAATTAACTGCACTTGTTGGGTAATATTGGTGTTTTTGTGCGCATCGACACATCTGTTGCCATCCACCAGGTCGATGCGCGCTCCAAAACGTCACATAGATAGCGCTGAAAACTCCTGAATCTCGGCTTTTTGAGGTGACTGTAAATGATGTGAAGGGACTTTCATGATTAGTCTAGAGGTTAACTTTTGTCTTCAAAACCACACAGAACTCAAAAAGGCAAAAACAATGCAAGAGTGCCTCCTCTAGTACCCTGGTTGACTTAGTAAAAGGAACTAAATCTACCGGTACACAACTTTGCCGCGGCCTTTGACTCTCCATGTTGTCTTTGAGTTTTCCACGCTGACACCTGTGAGTTATGAAAATATGGTGGTGTGTTCTGAAAGCCGAGCCAGCGAATGGATATTCGCTGAAGTAACACGCTTCCATGGAGCCTTTTGAAGCGCTGATCTTGTTCTATGATTGCCTTTGTGACCGAAGTGCTTTAGTGCGCCTCAAGGAAACCTAAACACTGAGAGAAAAAAAAAATGAGAAAAAGACTACAAACGGGACGTTACAATGATTATTGTTGTTTTGCTTGAGGTTAATGGTCGGGATCCTCTTTGGAAAATGCTACATAGGAAACTGAATTGTGCAATTAGTTGGAATGGACGTAGGAGTGAATTGAACTGGGAGAGAAAATGGAGAGCTTGAGGCAAAAGTGTGTCGAAACAAAGAATGATAACCACGTTGCTGTGAGGGCTTCGGTCCAAAGAATGATTGTTTTGCTTGGACCGGTCCGTCGTACAAAGTGGATGGAACAGAGCTCCACTTTTCGGTTGCTGAGTTGGCTGTTGCGCACATCCACACGCGTCGTGACTAGAACACGCACTTAGTTCTGACATCTTTCAAGGCTTTGAGACAAAGCGGTTCCTGGATCACCAGCTTGAGAGTCTCAAATATGCGTTTTTCCCTTCCTAATCGATTTTGTTTGCATTGCTCTGTGGCTGCAGCGCAGATGCGGCATCTGTCTGCCAATGACTTTGCAAAGTTTAAACCTGACTCCGGTGACCATCTGTCATCTTTCACTTGCTTGCTGGTGGAGTGTCGAAGTCGCAGAGCAGTGGCCAGGTGGTCAAACATAGCCGAAGGTCATTAGGGTTAAGCTCGGGACAGTCCTGTCCAAACTCAGTCAGGTACTCTGAATGACACACATCACCCTGTTGGATTGTCACGCTCTTCATCATTATTTAATGTCGCTGGCTGACTGAAAAAAAAATATTTTGACCTTCTGGATTGTCTGTCATGTCTCAATTCACTTTGTGTAAAATCAATTTCTTGAGGCATGGTTAGCTTTTGACTGTATGCTAATTTCACTGTAAGAAGGAGTAACTAGAACCTGAGAGGGACCAAAAAGCTGAGAATTGTTGCATCAAATTATCATTTTTTCCATGTTGATATTTTTTTTTCTCTAAAAGTCCAGTTACTGTGGTCATGGTGTCAATGAAGTGTGTCTGCCACAGGGGATCATTTTGTCTCTATCAACAACACGGCACATCAGCTCGAGTTCAAGTCGCACCAATGGTTCGGCGCCACATTGCGTTCCCACGGTGACACCATTTTGGTAAGTTTACCCTGGCAAAAGATTGCTGCATAAAAAAGGGCTCAATATAGCTACAACACACACTTGGTGAAACGTGAATGGAGTGAGATTCCTCAGGCTGGTAAAGTTAGCGTGCCAATAAGTCTGCATTACCATCAATTATATGAAGTAACTGCGGAACATTTTACTGCCATTGGCCGTGTATTAAAAAATAACAAACATCGCGGGAGCGAAGAGAATGGAGTGAAGTTCCCCAAACTCCGTTCTCTTGCATCCCCATCAAATCTGGGTGGAACATTCCCGGTTATGTACTGGAATTGTTTGCTAACTGTTGTCAAGTGCCACTTGTCATTTCCACACCCAACATATCGCAAATAAATGTCCAAACCGTGACGTCAGAGTTGAGCCGGCCGCCATTTGGTCCAGCAAGGGTCATGACCTGGGTTGGGTTTTGTGGTTATCCCGCTCCAGATGTACTGACATCCTAAACTGGCGTCCCCCTCTTAGATCACTGTTGTAGCAACAGGAAAAACATCGTCCACCGAACCCAAAAAAACTTGTTTGCCTTGTCCACCCACCCCATTTCTTCCATACTGACCCTAGCATATTCTTTTCCCTTAATTCTTACAGGCCTGTGCACCTCTCTACTCGTGGAGGACAGAAAAGGATATCCCGCGGTCTGACGCCACTGGGACTTGCTATCTCTCCGTTCAGAATTTCACCAAATTTGTGGAGTATGCACCTTGTCGAACAGGTGACTGTCATCTTCATCTTAGCTTAACAAGCGTGTCAGTACACACAAGTTCACCGCTCCTCACCCAAAGTCAGTAACAAAACTTAGAACACAAATAGCCAGAGTAGCATTAGCATTATTATTGTTGTTTGTAATCGTGCTTGTTTATGAAATATGTATGAAATAAATGACCGCTGGGTACGTTCATTTTTTTTTTTTATGTATTATCTTGATTTCTCATATTGTCACGGATCTGTCTTGTGTAGAAATCAGCGATGAGGGTGGACAAGGCTACTGCCAAGGCGGATTTAGTGCCGACTTTACCACGGTATGCATCCCGTTTTGCACCAGAGTTTGTCCACTTCCTTTTTTAGTGGAGTAACACCCGTTTTTTTGTTGTTGTTTTTTTTTTTAGGATGGTCGAGTTGTGTTGGGAGGGCCGGGCAGCTACTTCTGGCAGGGTATGCCAGACACCTCTTCAAGCACAATGCTGCTCCACCTACACACCGTGCTAAAAATAAATAAATAATATTTCTACCTGGTTTTCATCTTTGTTCATATCTCAGGTCAGGTGATCTCAGCAGATAAAGAGGACATCATTGAGGCTTATTACCCGGGTTACTTCATACAGTCTGTGGATGGTCAGATCCAGACAAAACAAGTCCAGGCTAAACATGATGACAGCTATCAAGGTAAATTGATTTTGCCCTCCCTCCCTTGTTTATTAGTTTTCCATGAAAGTTAAGTTTCGTTTTTATGCCCTGCAAGGTTACTCTGTGACTGTGGGGGAGTTCAGTGGAGATCAAGTTGAAGGTAAAGTCAGTTCAATATTTACTACAGGGCCAGTAGTTGGCGACATATAAAATTGCAGTAGACCAGAGAGAACATGAAGCTCGGCCAGCCGTATATGATTTTGGACCTGGATGCGTTCTGCTAAATTTCTTCTTTCTGTAAAGGTTTGCATTATTTCCCGCAGATTTTGTGGCCGGTGTTCCAAAAGGAGTTATGCTTTATGGTTTGGTAAGAAAGTGCTCTATTTTGTCAGTCTTGCTTGGTGCTATTAGACTGTCTGTATCTTAAGACAAAATACAAGGGGGAAAAATTCAAAGATGACACTTTTGTAAGCATCTTTGACTGCTGTTTTGCAGGTGTCCATTCTGAATGGAACTGACTTGAAGACAATGATTAATTACACGGGCGAGCAGGTGAGTCAGAATGGTCAAACCACCTTCGTTCCTTTGATATATTAATTTAATTGCGCTGTTGAATGCTGATATATGAAACCCGTGTTGGAAAATGCATTTCCTCGATTTTCATCTGGATATGTTCTTTTATTTTATAACTATGCAATGACCCAAATTGACTATTACTTATCAATGAAAAGGTTACAGTAAAGTGTCGGTTTTTGGTTGCATTTATTGTCTTCAGACAGTTTCACAATTTTGAGTCTGAATTTCATGACAGACAAAACCATTGCACTTTTCTCTCCAGATGGGATCATATTTTGGCTATGCAGTGGCCGCCACTGATGTCAACAGCGATGGGTGAGTTTTCTCCCACCCAAAAATAACCATTGGGACAGAATTGGAGGCCACCAGCTCGTCATTACACCTCTGGCGCCAACGTGTCCGAACCTAAATGACTAACTTTATCTCCTTTTTTTTGTCCGCAGGATGGTCGACCTACTGGTGGGCGCACCCATGTTCATGACGCGAGGCTCCGACGGCCGGCTGGAAGAAATGGGCCGAATCTACGTCTACCTGCAGCGTGCTCCGTTGAGCCTGGAGCTCAGCCTACTTCACCTGACAGGCTCTCAGGTGTTTGGCAGATTTGGCAGCACCATCGCACCATTGGGAGATTTGAACCAGGATGGATTCAACGGTGAGAAGAAGCAACTGTGTTGTAATATGGTACTCTGTGATGTGGATATTTATACTGTGATCTCACCCTGGACAGATGTGGCTGTGAGCTGTCCGTTTGGTGGGGAGGAGCAGCAGGGTTTGGTCTACATCTTCAACGGCTTCCACCAAGGCCTCCGAGAGACGCCATCGCAGGTGATTGCAGGCCAGTGGGCCGCAGGTTCCATCCCCGCCAGTTTTGGCTTCGCACTCAGAGGGGCCGTGGACCTCGATTGGAATGGTTACCCAGGTCAGTGACATTAAAAACATGTCGAGTACTTATGAAGCTTTGATGTGTTTCCTAATCATTTCCTCCTCATCTTCTCAGATCTTATTGTTGGTGCCTTTGGAGTTGATAAGGCAGTTCTCTACAGGTATTTTATTTTAACGCTTTTTAAAGGGGATTAAAATTCTCAAAATGTTTATTTTGTCTTTGTAAGTTTCTAAAGTGCTTGTATTTTTGTGCTGTAATTATAGGATGCTTTACTAGTCCTTTTAAAACTCAAGTAAGACCTCGGCCAAAATATGGCCAAAATATGAACCCAACACAAAATAGACTGTGTTGTTTTGGCATTCTCATTGTAAGTTTATTTGAAAAATGACACTATTATTTTTCTGAGCCAATTCAGCTGCGCTTCAGTCCTCACAATGGCAAACAAGTAAACTAAATTTAGCCGTCATTAGTGTTCATTTTGTTTGTGAAAACCTTGCTCCAGTTCTGAAATCAACCAAGCTGACTTTCTGAGCTGACCTTTTGCCACTTTCACATCATACTAAACACAATCGTGTTCGTGATTCAAAATTAAGTCAATACTTTTTGCATTGAGACATTAATGCCACTGCATTGTTATATTGAGGGGATCGTAAATGTCTGTTATGTAGCCCGCTCACAATATTGTCAGCATTTTTCCATCCTCTGGTTGGTCACAGCAAGCCAAGATTGACTGGCAAAACATGTTTGCAGCAATATGATTACAATATTATATTAAATAACCAACATCTGGTGAAACTAATGTTTTATTTAAATCCTTAAATATTTTATGTTTTTGCCATGTTATTAGCTAGATATTGATTCCGAATTAAGCCGGCGCAATCGTGTGCTGTTATATTGCATTTTTGTGTCGCATTGATGGTTTCTACTATCGTCAAGTCATACTGTTGCTTTTAAGAGGTGGATCGATGAAGGTAAGTCCCCAAATGTGACCCGTCTGTGCTGATCACTCACAGATCGCGTCCCATCGTCAACACCAGCGCCTCACTGACGATTTACCCCACCATGATCAACCCCGAAGAGAAGAACTGCATGATCACTAACGGGAACACAAGCATTTCCGTTTCCTGGTGAGTAACCAGAACTCTACTTCTGTAAACACTTATATCCTGTCTGATAAGAAATACAGATGCCGTCAGCGTTAGGCGAGCGTTTCTCTCATGTGACGCGTGTTTTTGTATCGCGCGTTTGAGCGACGTGTTCAATAGCTGCATTGTTGGCCATTGTGGCTCCCTACAAATGTGCACACTATTCCCTTCCAGAGGAGAGGAAACAGACGGCGGTCACTGGATTTTCAACATGGTTGACACCGTGCCCGTGTGCGCCCCTCCACCCCTATTCTATGAAGGAAACTCTTGTATACACATGTGTCTTGATTACACTGCCGCGTTGCTGTGGTGATGAGGAGTTTTCAGAGGGGATAATGGCAAGGAGAGCCAGAGGGGAGGGGCTTCAAGTCCCCCCTCTCCCCCCTCTTCCTTGCAGTCGCTTTGAATGCGATATTGTTTGGTAGTGGAACACAGCTGGGAAACATCAGGACACGTAGACTCGCAGTAGTGCTGGAGCATGCACACACGGGAGCTTGGATAAAGATATTAGTGCTCCTCAATAGAGGTCCTTGTACTTTGATTTGTCTCTTTCTGTGCTTTTTGGATAAGGGGAAAGAAATAAAGAGATTTACAAAGCAGTTCATTCACATGATAGCTCATCGGAATATTTTGCCAACGATGCGGGTGATTGTGCAAATTGCGATCAGCCCACCCACGAGATGCTATAATTATCAAACTGAAGAGGAAGAATGTCATAGAAACATAGAAACCCTTCTGCATCAAAATAGGTTCATGTGTATGTGAAGAAAATTTTTTTTTTTTATTGTTGAATAATTAGCATCGAACTTAGATCAATATAATAATCACAAAGACACCGCAGCAACACAATGACTGTTTGAATGCGAGAAGACACTGTTCTTTGAGGGCGCTTATTATAATAGAAATGCTAAACATACAAAAATAAGCTAAATACAAAATTGAACAACTCCTACAATGACACCGACAAACTGTCAACTTTCATGCTTTAATCTTTGCTAATTGGTTCGATCAAATCCTGTGGGTCTGTTGTCTCATAGTCATGTGGGGACCATTTGTCACAATGTAAATTCAAGTGACCTCCGACTGAAATACAGGTGAAGAATATCCACTTTGCTTGTAAACCTTGGTAAATCAAATCGTAATACCTGCAAATTGTGTCTTACACTTGAGTAAACGGCAAAACAGAGCCAGCTAGAGGAAACGTCGCAGTATCCTTTCCTGGTTTTCGTCGCCTCTAAAATGATTTGGTGGGGGTGGGCTGTTCAGACATCAGCAGCGTGTTATGCCGTTGATGTCATGGGAGACGACTTCCATGGGTAACCTTTGGGCAGCCAGTGCTGAAACTCGAGTGCTTGCCCAATTTCACCCTTCTTAACTTGGCTACTCCTTTTTTACATGCATCAATTTATCAGCCGGCCCGGGTGAAAGTTGGCTTCCAAACATTCCCAGTATGTTAGTCATTGGATTTGTTACATTACACTGAAAAGGGGAAGCATGTCAGGAATGAACTTGTGATTTGTGTGTTATATTAACTATCGAACCTCTGTCCAACACAGTGTCAATTTGAGTTTCTGCATATCCACTGATGGGAAGCACCTACCAGATGTTCTCGGTGAGACAACATTCCACAATCAATAAGTCCCCGTTGTAAAAGTTTACAAATCTGTGTTTGGCACTGAAAGTTTTGTCACGTTTGCTCGATTTTTTTTCATTGTACTATACAGTATTTACATTGTCTTAAATTATGTTAAAAAAACAATTTATTTTTTATTTTAAAATATTACTTAAATGAAGTGGCGTATGAACTCTGAGGATATCTTATTCCATGTGTTTTTTTCCCCCCTGCCATGACGTATATCAAAATCAGGTTGTTCATTGGGCAAATGAGTTTGAATTTTCAATTACTTGAACCATGTACAGTAGTGTAAATCCAGCATTGGTTGAATCATCAGTCGTGTTGACATTTCGTATATCTGCTTGACAGACTTCCAGGTGGAGGTGCAGCTCGACAGTCAGAAATTCAAGCAGAAAGGAGCAGTGAAAAGAGCTCTTTTCCTGGACACCCAGCAGCCTTTGCTGCAGAAAAACTTAAGGGTGCGCCATGGCGAGCGTGTTTGCAAGCACACCAAGATCTACCTTAGAGTATGTCCTTTTGCACAGCCATATATAAGTCTACCGTTCTTTACCGTGACCGGTCAGTTTTCTTCAACTGCATATCCATTTTCATTATTTTTTGGCTGTAGGATGAGAAGGACTTCCGGGATAAACTCTCCTCCATCTTGGTGGCATTGAACTTCAGCCTGGATACCAAAGCTCCCGTAGACCAGCAGGGTCTGCGACCTATTCTCAACTATCAATCCCCCAACATGATAGAGCAGAAGGTACTTAAAAACTTTGTCTTTCCACGTCACAAGTACAAGGCAACAAAACGCAAACCGCATCCGACCAGAAGTGCATTCATGAAATTATGTACCATATACTGTACGGTGTAAGACGAGATAACATACAGTAGATACACATCATGACAGCCGAAAGGGCTACCCTGGGATCACCATTTTTGTTGAGTTAAGTCTGACAGCTGTTTTTAACTAATTTTGGGATGCGGAATCCCGAATTTATCTCAGTTTTTCTCTATCACATCAAGTTTTTGGGCGCAACGATCCCTATTTTCTTAAAAAAATTATTAAACAACAATGTATGCATGTAAATAAAATAGTCAGATAGAATAGTTTTAAGCTTTGAAAACAAAACAAAAAAAAAAACAAAAAAAAAAACCCAGCATGAAACTAAAGTGAACGTACATGGTTAGGAGAAAAGCCAGCACTAATCTTCGGAATTCCTACTATGTTAACTTTCTGTTTGCAGATATTGATAGTACTGACCTATTGGGAGCCACACACACCTCTCACTGCCGTGTCTCAACTGTGACGATAGCACAAACAAGTTGTTGTAGCTGTAAATTAGTCCAATTGTTATAAACTGGCAACTCCTACTGCAGCTAATCAGTGCAATTTTGTTATCTGCTAAGATGTGGAGAAAAAAACTTAACATGCTTGAAAAGAAATGGCAGCAATTTTGAAATCAGCACACCGATTTTAGTTTTAATCAGCATAAAAATGGAACTCAACAGATTTTTTTTTCACATTTTTACTCATTGCTTTCCAATAGTGATAACTGAGGAACTACACTTCAAGGAAACGATTTGGGTGATTTAAAATGGGATTTTCTGAAAATGGGAAAAAATCTGAAAATGTGAAGAAATTCCTCAAATCCAGCCCAAGGTGGACAAAAGTTAGGTGTGGAGATGGAGTATGTGGACAAAAGGAATGAAAACATTTTGAACTCTTCTGGCAAGACTTTCTGTGTGATTTATGGAATGTGTCTGTGGTTATTGTTTTCCATTTGTGAGTTGCTTGCTCCTGGCTCATCATCTCCGTTGGAGTTCTTCCCAAAGGTGTTGGATGGGCTTGTTGCACACACATTGGCTTTGGGCCAAAGAAAAAGGGCCTTCCCCAAAACATTATTGTCAGTGTTCTACATGTACCGAGAACTGTGCATTCTGCCTTCTTAATATCCGGGCTATGACGCGGTGAGCACCCATCCCCAGTTCGGTTAACGGTTCTTTGTGTGTCTCTCACTGTCATGTAGCTTTTCTCCTTAGCTGGATCAACGCTGCTGTCTTTAACATAACACAGCTTGCGTGCCTCTCAGAGATGTGGTGCCCTGCCAAGAACCAAAGACCTTGAGCTAAAATATCAAACTTAAATCTGGCAAAGCGCCTCTTTTGGATAATCCTGAAATGCACCATACTCATGTGTCGATTGAGGGGCGGGAGTAGTGTTGAGGATATTTAATTTCATACACAGCGGTGCTTATTGTGATAATGCAGCCCCGACCTCCACCAGACTGTGAGACTGTGTGGCAGCAACTTTTCATCAAGTCTGGATATGTCTCAAAACCCGCTCACGCTCTCATCCTTAACATATTCCGTATGTTCTGGCAGGATTTATGGTCTCATGCTGAATCTATTAATGGGCGTCACTCTGGCATCATTTGCATGACTCTCAGCTGTTGTTCTCCTTCGGAGCTTGGAAGTGTGCAACAAGGCCCTCATTGTCCTTCATGACTTTGATTAATGAAACGCTCTCGCGTATTTTGCACCCTGCAGAGGACGCTGGTTTTCAAATAGAGTTGAACGGAACCTGTTGCACGAGAATCAAGTTTGTAACAACTCATAATGGAAATAGCAATCGTGTGACAGTAGACAAAGACCTACAGAGAGCCTAACGCATCAAGACGTTTTTGGGAGGTCAAATTCCAAATTGTTTGACCTGATTAATACCCCATAAATCCCACATAATCAGTTTTATTTGGAGCATGTTCTCATTTTATTTATTTTTTGGTTTCAAACATATTTCAACACTTGCCAAAAATAGTGTATGAAGACATTTTGACATTGTTAGACAAAATGGTTGATCAAATTGTGATTGAAAGTGACCACAACCTTGCATTGTTTTGGTTACATCCATTGCATCTCTTGTGTGTGTCTTTTAAAGGGCGAACAATAAACTGTTCCTGGAATTCGATCACACTTTGATTTGTTGTAATTTAGATTTTTAAGAAACAAAAAAGACATATTGGCGGTAAGACATAAAAACAATATCATTTGTCCGCCAAGACAAAGCAGCTTTATTTTACTCTATAGACAATGTTTCCAGTAGCATTTTAATATTCTTAACTGCCCTCGAAGTCTTAAAAATAATTGACTGGCATTCGTAAAATTAAAAAAAATATAGAAATTAGTATTAGGAGATATGGCGCTAGGTTTTTCTCTTGGCATTGAAAACACATTTTTCTTACATTTATATCCATATTTTTTGACAAAAAAAAATTGTATTTTAGATATTTTCCACTTCATATTTCCCCGGTTTGATTAGCTGGTAGAAAAGAAATCATGTGGTTCGACAACCTTCAAAAAACGACTTGTAATCCTTTTCTTGTGTGCTCTGGTGTGCCTGATAATGGCCTACTGAATATGTTTGCCATCATAATACTTTAAATGTTTGTCAGAGTTGTTGTGAAGCCCCGAGCATCACATGTGTGACCCACGCAGGTCCAAAGAAACATATGCGTAGTTAACATGGCGACATCCCTTGGTGTCCATAATTAGAGCCTGGTGTCCGTGTAATAACAGAGGGGGTGGAGGCGGGCACGTTGCGCTCTCTAATCTCCTACTTCTATTTATTATCCTCATCATCAACAACATCATGACACTGACTGTCGCAGCCTGATGCAATTTAGCTTGCCGCATGTTCAACATTGATCTAGCAGAAGCACTTTCTGTTCCTTTCTTGCCTGGAAAGAGCCAATTTATTGAGTGTAGGGGTTTTCAATGGCCGTGTGTAATGTTCCAGAAAACGGAGACATCTGAATTTCTCATTTACAGCTAAGGCATTTGCACCGGAATGTCGCTTGATGTTGAAGTTGTCACTCGCTTTGCAAATTGATTTCCTCTGACTTAAATGAGAACAATGGTGACTCTGGAAAGTTTTAAAATGTTTACAAATGATACGACAGTCTCAGTCAAGTCTTGATCTGATCTTATACTAGAATCTGAGCTATTAGATGACATACAACCAAGAAGCTAGGCTAGCTTGACTTCTTTATATGGTTTCAGTCATAAATTAGGATTAGAAAATGGCTGGATGGATATTTAGCAAGTTCAAACAATGGTGTCATGAACCCGTTGTCTTGTGAGTTATTGCGCCATACATCGGAAGCAAGTGTAGCACATCCCACTGTTTTGGTGTTGCCAACTCTTCTCCTTGTCATTTCTTTTACGACTGATAGGACCCATTCTAGCCCGAGTCAGGTTGCTTCCTGATTGGCATTTGTGAGTCTTCTGTGTTGACCATACTCAACAGGAGTTTTGACTGAACATTTCTGATTTTCTACTCTGGCAACAGTTCGAAACGATTACTACCACCGACAACAGAACTTCAGTTGAAGAGTATGAATTACATCACTGGCGATTTACACGTGCAGTGGGAGTTGGCGTTTTAAAGACAGCGCTAGAATAATGTGGCGTATGCCCGCTTCAACTCTTTTTTACATTTTAACGACGCTGCCTCTCTAGTTTCAATGGGGTGGCATAGCGTGTGGGGAAAGTGTGGCCCGCCACAGAGTGCTGTGATGTGGGATGGCGGCGAGATCGGTGAGCTTGCAGCCACATGCTTCATGCCGCAAGTGTGTATCCTTCCCTTCGGACGGACTCATCGTTTCCTCCTGTGACGTCGCAAACACAAAACATATGCGTGCCGGCACAGCTGGCTGAGGAGCGTGTCTGCTCGTCTGCTCCTATCATTAACTCACTAGGTCGTCCCATTGAGCCACTACGGTGTTTGCGATCATCCGTCTGTAATCCTATAAATAAAAGAGAGGGGGCTGTGATCCAGGTGTGTGTCGGAATGTCATCAGTCATTGCACGGGTTGCGTCATGCTACACTCATCCTCATGTCGGCCTTCAACACATGTGATTTATTATCTCAGCATTTCAAAATAGAAGTGTCGAGCCTTTACGTTAAATTTTGGGGTGTTTAAATAAATGTGTTTTTCAGGCTCAGATTCTGCTGGATTGCGGAGAAGACAACATCTGCGTCCCCGATTTGAAGCTTGCAGTCCACGGGTGAGTCTTTCATTTCCTCTCACATTGCTCGGAATCCATACGTGATTGATGGGGAAATACACTCGATGCCCGTCCCCCCCCCCCAAAAAAAATACCAAGTTGGAATGAATGCTGTTTGAAATCTCAATTAAGGACAAAGTGCAGTGATATGAAACTTAGCTTTTTGCGGTTTTGTGGCACAAAATGCCCTCCTGTTCAAACAGGAAAATGGTGCTGGTGTGTCACTGGTATCAAAGAAGTATGTTGAAGTATTCCAGCTTGAATGAAAGAAGATTTGCCGCATTTGTATGTACAGGTTCTTTCCTGGTGCATTTCTTTCAAAGGCAAATGATCTGTAAAACATAATTTGGTCTTAGATAGTGCTTGCAAACAAGAGAGGAGCATGGCTGTTGCTACACAAAAGGTTCTTAATTGGACATTTTCATTGATTGTGCAAGTATTTTGTGACAAGGGCGCCTGTTTTATCAGAGGTCAACATGAGTTGAAGAAGAGTGGCAAAAAGGTTGAAAACTGATATTATGAAAATGGCATTGTGTTTTGGGTTTGGTGTTTCTTTGATGCACAAAGGTTAAAATTAAAACGACGATGATCGATCACATCAAAGCATATACCCGTATTTTCTGCACCATAAGTCGATTGAGTATAAGGCGCCCCTTCAATTAATGGCCCATTTTAAAACTGTTTTCATAGACAGGGTGTATCGCATTATAAGGCGCATAGAATAGAAGCTACAATAGTGGCTGCGGTTATGTTTTGCATCCACTAGATGGAGCTCCGCTAAAGTGAATACAATACAATACAGCTTTATTCATATAAAGCTTTCACAACCGCTGCAGCTGTAACACAGCGCTTTACAGAACATGAAAAATACTACGTCCAAGACATCAGAAGATTGATCCATATATCAGGCGCATCGGATTAGAAGGCTTTTGGGAAAATTGAATGCCTTTAGGTGTGCCTTTATAGTGCTGAAAATACGGTATATATTCCATCAATATCACTTTTATGAAAGTGTACATTTACCACATTTTAAACTCCTTTCTAAGATTGGAAAGAGAAATCAAAAGATAGTTATGGATAAGACGGATTTTCTTGGTCATTGTGTAAACTCACTATGCAACATGCTGATATTACTCGGCTCCTGGTGGATGGAACACACAACCTTGGTCCAATCCCCCTCCAAGTGTTTATTTAGAATAGCACGCCCTATTCCAACCTCTTTCTCTTTCCCCATATTTAATAATAAAAATAAGCACATCCTCAAATATGAGCAGAATTCTCCACAAGACGTGAATGGCTTTGACATATACAGTATACCTTTCGTCTATTTGTATTAACTTTAAAAATCCAATTGAAAGTGGGCTCAAAGGGAACGGCAATTAGTAAAAGGTTAGATAGAAATTAACCCTCGGCACTCAAACCTGCATCTGTTTTTGTTGCATGGCTGCCTGCTTAAACGCACCAAAGAAAGGTGAAGCGTCAGCATTTCAGTGTGAGTTGCGGGTGCACGGCAGCCTTTGCAAACAGGAAGCGCGCGCGCTCTACAGGTGCCACGAACAAACAGGAGACAGGCAAATTGTCGGGAAACGTAAGCGCCGCGTGCCAAAAGTCCAAAGGTCCCGCCTGATGCAGAGTTTGCCACACGCTGCTCCGAGAAATCTGTTTGCATTTTCCTCCTCCCTGATACTCCCTTCTCCGCTCTGTCATTTTGATTTCACATTCCTATATTTATCTGCCATCTGCATGTATGGGCGACCCCTTGCATATGGAGTAACCTGCTGCGGGTGCATTGAAAGTACAACTCCAGCAAAGTGTGATTAGTGCAATCAGGAACATGTCCGAATATTCTGGGCCTGATGTGTTTGGGGCCAAGCGCAAATGTGATGGCCATGATTTTTGTGGAATTTCAGCCAAATGCCAAAAAAAAAAAAAAAAAAAAAAGAGGCCGTAATTCCTGCTGTGTTGTTTCTTGCATTGGGCTGCCAAAGCACACAACCTGTTGGAGGAAGGGGTCCCTCAGGGAGGCTTCACAGTGTTGTGGCCTTTTACTAATTTGGAGCCCTTGTTTGGTTTTGAAAAAAAGTGTAGCGCCAGCGAGAAGGCAACTACAGCTGACCTACAGGAGGACTGCTCGCCAGCTCTCCCTTTATGAGAACAGATGCTAATTAGAAGCATGTGCGTGACCCTCGGTATGGAATTCTTCATTGTTCCATGGGAATGGGAGGAAGCAGAATGGGAGCGGCGTTGTTCTACGGTCCCTACGTGTGCAATGTAGCCTTTCCACAATCAGTATTTTGGAGCAGTTAAAAAAAAAGATAAACGATCACGATGCGTTCAGAAGATGGACCAATCAATCTGATCTAGTTTAACAACTTAGTCAACTCCCACTATTCACGGGGGGTCGGGAACCACAAACAGCCAAAATTTGCGTATAATTGATGCTCTTTTGAAATGCATTGGGGAAAAACAAACAAAAAAAAACAGCCTTAATAATTCTCCCCAAATTGCTGAAAAACATTCAAGAAACGGAAAATTGGGTTTGCTGTAATTGGACTTATTTTGCGCCTCCGATCAGTGATCGCTGTGCAAATAATCCATTACAACCGATGACGGATTTTTGTACCACTGCGCCCCCACCAAAAACTGACCTTGCGCTGATATATGACAAGCTGACGGCTGTTCCACACATTTATTGGCCTGGTGACGCCATTTGACCCCAATTGGTAATCATTTATTCTCTTTGCTGGCTCCTCAGGGACAGGAAGGAAGTGTACCTTGGTGATGACAACGCCCTGACCTTGACTTTCAACGCCAGGAATGAGGGTGAGGGTGGCGCCTACGAGGCAGAGCTCTATGTGGTGCTGCCACCCGAGGCCGACTACAGCGGCATCGCTCGTAATAACGAGGTAAGCGCAGCTGCATTCCCCACCAATAAAAACGAAAAGCACTTTGAGGAATTTCTTTGGCACGCTCACACTTTTTCCTCCGCGGGTGGGCCCGCAGAGCCTGACCCAGCTGACCTGCAGCTACGACACCGAGAACCAGACCCGATACCTCAGCTGCGATTTGGGAAACCCCATGAAGTCTGGCACCAGTGTAAGGCCGCCGTTCTCTTCCTCTCGCTGGCATGTTTTATGGCGATAAGTAAAATGACGTAACGGCTCGTATTTGCTTGCTGTTGTGGAAAAGTCAAAATGTCATCCGGAGACAAGCTACGCAGGAACAGCTTTGTTTTGCGAGTTATTAATTTTTTTTCTTTAAAGCCTTTTAAACACACTCATAGTGAAGCTATATTTTGGCTTCAAATTTATTTTCCGTATTCGAAATACAGGGAATAGACTTTAACAGAATTTATCAACTATTAGTTCCTCTCTAAAGCTGTGGATAAGATGGAGGCATCAGACAGCCGTAGGGCACATATAGAACACTGAGTCACACTCACATTCACACCTCCGGACAATTTAAAGTCTTCAGTAAACCAAAATGCATGTTTAACAAATGTGAGAGAAAGCCAAAATGCACAGGAAGGAAATGCAAACTTCACGCTGGCAGGCCAGATCTGACGTGCTAACCACGAGTCTGACGAGCCTTCCATCTCAAACTTTTGGAGCACATTTTCTTTCAGATTTTAGGCCAAATTCTGAGTTGTTCAAAATGGTACACGCCCGGGCCAAATTTAGAATTTGCGATTTTGTTGTTGTTGTTTAAATTGTATCTTTTAGTTGGAAAGGATACAAGACTCAAGTATCAAAAGACTTTGTGTTAACTGTAACTTAATCATTTTTATCAATACGGGCATTTTTGAAAGGTATTTTTTTTTTTTTTGTTTATATGCTATTTATTAAATAAGAAGTTACCTGGATCCTTTCGATCAGGGATATGATTTTGTAGTAAAACAAATTCTGAAAAGGCATAATTTTGTGTTTCCATTAATATTTTACCTCTCAGTCTTTTGCCTCTCTAATTGATATGAATTCAGCAAACACAAATTTATTGTATTATATGGCTGGCCATTTAATCGAAATGCATTTGTGATTTCGATTTTCATTTCTCACGATCCTGAAAACATCACAATAGATGAAAAATACATTAGCAAGCATAAAATGCTAGTTCCTGCGCTGCGGATGCACCTTGAACGCCGCACCTCGAAATTCGTTCAGGCTTACATTCTTCCTAATCTGTTTTATATGAATAAAGTGTTCTGCTTTCTTCTTCTACTCTTTTTTTTTTTTTTTTTAATGTTCATATACTGTAAGCGAGGTTTTATGGTGCTGATGTTCTCTTCAGCTTTGGGCGGGTCTTCGTTTCACGGTGCCTCGACTGAAAGACACGCACAAAACGGTCCAGTTTGAGCTGCAGATTCGCAGGTATTACGCCGACAGAGGTCCAAAATGTCATCTTCCAGTCCTGAGGTGAGGTCAGTTGACAGCAATCTCTTTCTTGGCGTCCGCAGTAAGAACGAGAACAACTCCCACAGCGAGGTGGTGCCTTACAAGGTAGAGGTGGTTGTCCAAGCTGAGATCATCCTTCAAGGGTGAGGAGGAGTCCCTGGGCCTCCAGTTTTTGGTGCCTTACCAAACATGTTCTCACTCCCACCTTCTATTTCTCTCGCTCTGTTTTTTTTCCTGTTTTTTTTCTTTTTCAAAGGGTGTCTCGTCCAGATAAGGTCTTCTTCCCACCGGCCAACTGGAAGGTGACCAAGAACTACGAAATGGAGCAGGAAGTGGGGCCAGCGGTGGAACACATCTATGAGGTAAGCACTTTTTTTTTCCCCCCACTTCCCACCTCCTTGCGACACATCCAGACAAGCCTGTTTGCTCTCTTTCTAGTCGTCCTTTCCTTCTCCTTCGAAGCTTGTTTTGCTGAGCAGAAATAAACGACAAAAAAATTGATTGGATACAAGTTGGGTTCTCCAGGATTTTTTTTTCTCTCAAACTCGCCGTGTATGTAATTCTTACAAGTCCGGTCATACAAGCATGCTCATACTAGGTGGCGCATGCAAGTTTTTTTGAGGATGCTGCACTGGATTTCATAAGGTGTGTCAGGAAAGTTCCAGAACTGCTGTCACAAAAGAAATCTTTCCAAGTGCAACTCCAAGTTTTCCCCTTGAAAGTAATCCCCCCTGGAGTCAAATGCATTTTTATGCACTCTGGGATGGATTCCTCTGGGAACCTTGCAGCTCCGTCATCACAGCTGTCTCATTGTTATCCGCATTTTCAAAATGAATCCCCTCTCTGAACTTGGGAAAGAGGCCAATAAAAAAAAAAAAAAAAAAATCACACAGAGCCAGGTGGGCTGAGTATGTAACTTGCTCCAGCTTGGCAACGTTGTTCTTGGCCAGGGACTGTTAGATGCTGAAGGCACTGTGAGCATGTTCTCACGGTGAAGCAGCCACGAGTTGTCCTGCCACCATTCTCTCATCTCGTTGCACACTGATCGAAACAAACGCAGCAGCATCCCGCTTGACGACGTGCCGGTTGATCGTCTTGTTCACAGTGAAATCGGGGATGAAATATGTCTTATGTGAGTTCTGAGACTTTTGCGACACCGCTCGTATAGCTTCCAATCATCAGTCTATCGGCTCTTTGTGATATAGAAGGGTTTGAGGAATTACAGAAAAAAAAAGAAATTAGGGCGTGGCTACTCTTAGTGGACTGTGGAAAAGTTTACTACCCTTCATTTTGTTGATTTATCAGCGCTATGATGACGTCATATTTCTTTTCCTGTTTGATAACCACCAGGTCATCAAAGCTGGTGGCGACCCAAGACGCAACACTGCACTGTACTATGAGCTTCAATTCCTGTTGCTCTTGTTGTTGACACTGTACTGGGTGTTGTTTTCCAGCTGGTGAACAACGGGCCCAGTCGGATCAGCCACACCCTGCTGGAGCTGCGCTGCCCCCTCGCCGCCCAGGGCCACAATCTGCTTTACCCGCTGGAGTTCTCCACCGAGGGCCCCGTCAACTGCACTTCTGACAGCAACATGAATCGCCTCCAGCTCAGAGTGAGTGCAAGCCACACAGATGCACATCTGCTCAGATTGTGACCTCTTAGGGGCTCGCGCAACTTTTTAAGACCTCCTGCCGATTGCCGGCGGGATGTATGATTAAGTGTCCACCGGCCTGCCAGCCCCACCCAGGACGCTTACCCTTCCAGCGCTTTGATGAACCACCTCAGTGGCAGTAAACTCACTCATCTCCCTCCAAATATAAGGGAGTTGTTTGTGTTTACAGATGTTGGGCAGAGCTCATCATCTGTGTCTTGTTTTGGGGAGAGCCGGCTACGCTCCCATGCGTTTGATTCATGGCACGATGACATCGGGGCCCTCCGAGCGGGAGAACAGGGTGGCGTCAGGTCACCGTGGCAAATGTGTCATGCTTGTATCTTCCTTGCAGCTCAAAGACACGGCAACAGAACCGCCTCATCTAGCTCTGAAGTCCCATGAACACCGCGTGGAAAGGCGGGATGCGCACAGGAACTCACTCGCGCACTTGACAAACCTGGTAAGATGGCCCTACCTTCTCTGACGGGGTCTGACATTAAACCTGTTCGGCCACTATGGGCTAGGTTGTGGTGGCGCGACCAATACCAGCATTGGCCCTGATTTAAAACAATACTAAAAACCAAGTTCATAATTATATACGTCGGCCTACATGTGGATGAAATAAAATGGACTCAACTACAGGAGATCAAGGCAGCTGTTTTCGGGCAACAGGAGGGGTACACCCCAAACTGGTTGCCAACCAATCGCAGGGCACACACAGACGAACAACCATTCACACTCACAATCACACCTAGGGACAATTTAGAGTGTTCCAATAACCTGTCAGGGATGTTTTTGGAATGTGAGAGGAAACCGGAGTACCCGGAGAAAATCCACGCAAGCACAGGGAGGACATGCAAACTCCACACAGGAAGGCCAGAGCCAGAATCGAACCCTGAACCTATGCACTGTGAGGCAGACGTGCTAACCAGTTGTCCACCGTGCCGCAAATATAGAATATTCAATATTTAAAAAAGCAAGAATGTGTTGATTTCAACATATTTATTGATGAAATTTGTGCTGGTGAACTGTGGGTGGCCCAACACTGTCAGGTGGCGGCTCCGGGCCATCAGGCCATCGTTAATGTCGAACCATGTCGAAATTAAGTCAAGTCATAGCCCTTAATGACAGAAAAGTCTCAAAGGGATCCACATGCCTGCAGTTGACAAATATACAACATCCCGTGTTCTCAACCCCGAGGAGGACAAGAAAAAAAAAGGATTGGAAGCATTCACATTTATGGGTTAGTCTTATTCAAGGAGACATTGTGCAATGCAATGGAAAACTGTTCCTGGGTATTTTAACATGTCTGTGTATGTTTATATTGCTGGGCCAATGGCGATAAAAGGGACGTATTGTCAGATTTGTCCTGTTGTCGTAACTAATAAATGTCTCGAGATGAAGCCCCCATACTCATATAGTTCTGGGTGCATACAGCCACCATTGATGGCACCAGCTGCATGTTTCCATCTGTGGACGCCTGCCTCAAGTTCAGACATTTTTGAATGTGCGTGTGTGTGTGTGTGTGTGTGTGTGTGTGTGTGTGTGTGTGTGTGTGTGTGTGTATACATATGTGTGTATGTACAGTCTGGCTTCGTAAACGATGCCTATCCAGCATGTCCGCATGCGATGTTCAACCTTCGATGCATCTTTGTCTCTTAAAGAAACCATGTTGTTATTGAAAGTTCAGAAAAGAATGTGTCCTCTTTGAGAAGCTCACACTTGAATTCCAGAATTGGTCACACAGTTGAAGACATGTTTTTGTTTTCTTGTTTGCACAAAATTTATTGACGTTAGTCAGGTCAAGGAAGACATTTTTTCAACAGTTTTGTTTTATTTTCAAAAATCAGTCAAAGCCCAACAGTGGGAACCGCATTCAATTCAACTTCAACCGCGTTGTCTCCTGCTGTTCTTTTTAATGACGTTTGGGGAACAACTTTTACATTGGCAGCCTTCACATCCTGACAACAGGAGCCCACAAGCGAGGAGATGTTCATGCTCTTCTCATAGGTCTCTAATTTTTTTTTTTTTTTTTTTTGGGGGGGGGGGGGCCCTCTTGCCGTTGGCACCGAGGAGGTTTGGGCGGGAGAATGTGGCTCGATAGCCCGCCTGTCTGTTTGATTAGCTTGAATAAGTCTGTCTCACTTCGGGTCTCCTCCTGCTGTGTTTACCCTTGTCAGCCAAAGAGCTCCTGCCGGAAAACCGCAGAAATCTTTGCTTCTGGGGGTGGTCTGCCTCCATTGCATGGGGCCCACGTGTTGGGTTCTAAGCTGATTTGCGGGAGCCTCATTAGACAATCTTGAGGCGAAATAGACTGGTTGGGCAGCAATGTAAAAAGGTTTCTTTTTTCTCTTCCCCCCTCCCTTTTTTTTTTTTTTTTTTTTTACAGTCAGATGACATTCCTTCCGATCTAATTTGAAGCAGGCATGGATAAGTGTTCTTAACATTGGACTCCCTTGTATTTATTTGATCTGCGGCATTAACATGCCTCCCATTTATTTTACTTGACTATTTTTTTTTTTTCAAATTCTCTCTCGTGTGTCCTTCAACCTGTCAGCATACAGAACAATTTTGTAGGTGGCCTTGAATTTACAGTGAGTTTACAGTCGTTGGCCGAACAAAATGAATTCCAGGGTGCTTGTTGACAGCTGATTTGTTGTGATGATTTTTTTCTTGGCAAAGGACAGACATATGAAGAAATCGGTTCCAGGCTCAAATAGTCGCTTTTGACCGTTTTATCAACTGCACATGTAATGTTTTCGTGAGTAACTAGCATTTTTAATTGGCAAACGTGTAAAAGAGTGTTACCTGCAGTTAAACTGTAGATTAACTGTAAAACAACGATTCGTTCAATCAAAGTCTTAACTTCAAATGTTTTAACTGTCATTAAAAAAAAGGGGGGGGGGAACCAATGGAACACCCCTTTGTTGAGGCTACGTTTCGAGTTTTGTAAAACCGTGACTTGACTTTAGAGGCGTAATGTCACATTGTACAAACTCAAGACAGTAAAGTGGCATTTAACTTGAGAGGTTCCACAAATCATCGCCAACTACTGGCCTGGTATGCATATCAAAGTGTTTTTAGTTGTTGCAGGTCTTTGAGAACACTGCCCTAGTATGTAAAACTTTTCAAAAATGCAAATTATAGCCCAACACGGAGCACGGCTGCCTCACGGTTCAATATTGAACCCTTTGTGTTTCGCCCTTGCTTATGTTGCTTCCTCACACATTCCAAAAACATGCATGTTAAACTCATTGATCAGTCCAAACTGTCCATAGATGTGTGCGTGAATGCTTGTTTGTTTGCCTCTTACCCAATGTAAGTCCAGATGGGCTCCAGCATCATCCATGACCTCCTGTACACGTTCCACGTTATTATGCAAATTAGGTTTTTATCGTCAATGCAAATGGCACTCAGCATAAAATTCAAGTCATCAACTATGAGAGAATAATTTGAATGTTTTCAAGCAAACTGCCCAATGAGAACTCTATTTCTAAAAACAGTTTTTTTTTAAATGCACTGTTCCGAATGATTCTGCACAGCAGGGTGTCAAGACATTTTATAGGTTGCAAAAGCATGACAATTGTTATTTCTTGAATTTGCAGCATTTGGAGGTTGTCATTTGCTGTAATCAAAAAGCGCTACGTAGATGTATCTACTGCACTATGGTGTCAACTCAGAGTCAAACGAAATACATCTAATCGGCATGTGTCGCCTGTATTTTGTGTAGTCCTGCTCCAGTGTGGACTGCTGGGCCCTGCAGTGCCAAGTGGGTCTCCTGGAGAAAGGGACCACGGCCATCCTCAAAGTGCGCTCCCGCGTCTGGGCGGAGACCTTCATGGAGGTTAGTGGAGCTTTTTTTTTTATCTCCTTATACTGTCTCAGACGAACCCTCATACATGTCTGACCCATTACAGCGTGTTCAATTGCACACACAAAGATGATCCGTCGTGGGATCGCAAAAAGGGGGCGGGGTTACTTTGTCTCTGTCTCCACCTATCGTTGGATAGTAATATTGCATCCACCTTCTGTTTCCCCTGCAGAGAGCATATAAGCAATTTGTGCTTGAGTGTCTGGCCAGATACAGTGTGAAGACCATGCCCTACGCCATTCTGCCCAAACACGTTCCCAGCGGACACAAAAAGGTATGTAAGATGTTTATTCACCAGATTACGCGATCTGTTTGGGACATTTGCACTGGATGGCACCATGCAAAAGCCACACTATCCTTGAGCGAATTCGGCCCTAAACGTGCTCATATGGTCCTCAGGTGGTGACGCCGGTGGTGTGGAACAAGCCTGACATTGAGAACTCAGTCCCGCTATGGATCATCATCTTGGCCATTCTGGCGGGTTTGCTGCTTCTGGCCTTGCTCATTTTCGTTCTGTACAAGGTCAGTCACACTGTGGAGATGAAAAGAACCTCTTCAAGGTCTGTCATCACTGAACTGGTGCTCCATGTCGTTCCGCAGTTCGGCTTCTTCAAGAGAACCCTCCCGTACGGCACCGCCATGGAGAAAGCCCAACTCAAACCGCAGGCTGCCTCGGAGGCCTGAGCGGCCCACGCGAGGCTCCCGCCAGCAGGGCCGCAGAACCACAGAACCAGGCCACATGATTGCAAGGGAGACACGCGACGGAGGAGGACAAAGGAGCAAAGAAACGAGACCACTGGAACTACAAGACTGGCCAGAAGACAATTCCAGACGTACTCTCAAACCAAATGAATGTTTTGTTTCATTTTGTATTTATGTTTGTTGGCAGGTTGGTTGGCAGAATAGATCATTGAGATCAACTCTTAGATAGTTTATGGAGCTGACCTGTCCTTGATGCTCCCAGGATTGTCCCAAATGCATGCTGGATAATGTCTCCAGCACCCGGGACAGGTTAAGCGGGTATAGACAACCGCCAGGGCGGACGTTTCGAGTCCGTCCGTGGCGACGATCTCTCTGCCTCAGGTCGGAGGACGGTGCTGCATTGAGTTGTTTTTGCACTCAAAGAAAATCTACTGATTCACTTCCAAAGATGCCAAAGACTGACTCGCGCTCCATACGAGTTCTCGAGTTGCCTGCTACTGATCGCTTTGCTCGGACACCGGAATCCTCTGAATAGCTCGAGATGAGACTGGAACTGGACGACCTTGAAGCCTTGCTTTAAAAGTTCCACCAGAGAATGTTTTTGTACTCTGAAAAGTCACGATGCCTCGAACCAGGGCCCTGTACCTGACAATCAGCAGCATTGTAGCCTAGACCGAGGATTCATGTCAGGAACAGGCGTCACTATTTCTGCAAGTGTGAAGGAGCCTGTTTTCAGCTTGGCGTTACTGTGACATATTCTATTTATGACCCTTTTGACTAAGAAAGAAAGAAAAAAAAAAAATCAGCCCGCTACCAAAAGACTGCATGACTGAACTTGATCAAGACAAGCGTTGAGATTTTTTTTTTTTTAAATGTAATTTTAATCTTGCTCTTGGACTTTGACATGCAAATACTTTGACTTTTGAGTGTGATATTGGACATGCATTTGTGTGAATGGTATATTTATGAATGTTAGTTTTATTGGATGAATTCCTCCAGCGTTCCCACCGATAAGTCCTGGTTAGCCATTTATTGTTGATGTTGACTTTCCACCCTGACGGCAAACATGTCGGCGCCATCCGCATTTTACTATCAAAGCCTTGTTACAAAAATAAAGAAATTAGGGTCCAAATATACATATTGCCAAACAGTTGCAGATATATCACGATGTTATCAAAATGTTCCAAATAATCATTAGGTCAATATGGAGTCAACATGACACGATTGTCACTGATGTCGAAATATCACAATACCATCGCCATTCATATCAAATTGCAAGTGATTTAGAGGCATCATGATATTCTTGTCACTGAGGGAAAAGTATAGCGATACTATTGTCATTACGATTATAATGTCATCAAATGTTTGGCCTCTTCAAAACAATCTATATACTTCCTGAGCTGTATTGTCACTATGATCCAATTATATGATCAGTCATTGAGTTAGAAATATCGCAATGCAGTCGTCAATTATGTAATAGTTTTTCGACGCTATTGTTAGTGATGTAAAGGTATCGCAATACTCTTGTCATCAGTGGAGAAGTCTTGGTGATATCATACTGTCATCACAAAGGGGCCAACCAGGCACTGGGAGCTTGTTTAGATGTGCAATATTTATATTCACACCTTTTTTTTTTCCAAGTCATTGTTTTTGAGTTATAATTATGACAAGCCAGAGCTTTGAGATGCGATCTAAAGTTTTGTTTGTGATAAGCACATATGTCATTATTCAGGTTCGTCTTTTGTTTTGAGTCCACGCTTTTTTTTTTTTGAATGGATTTGTCACCACTTTGTTGCACGGATGCCGAACACCAATCTCGAAGAGCTGACATGATGACTGTGCCGTATGGTTGCATCTGTCCAAACATGATTGTTTTACTAAACACGTGATTCACGTTTGTTTGCCTCATTCAACATCCGCCCCTCGCGTATAGAATAGCGATTTCAAATGGTCTACAAAACTCTTCCGAATATCAAGCCATTATTTATAAGAACAGGGTGTCACCTCCAGAGTCCCCCTGTGGTTACATCATGTGAAGGCACTGCACCCCTCGCCCCCTTTATTTTATTTTGAATTGTTGGCATGTCCCAGCCTTCTTTCTTTCTCTTCCAAAAAAAAAAAAGACGTTGTACATATTTATAACTAGTAGAGTATTTCCGAATCCAAATGGTAACTGGTGAATTTTCTCACCCCATATTGGGGATTTGTGTTTGATTTTTGTTGGAGAGGGAGGAGGGCATCTCGGAGGTCAATTTGTTCCAAATTCTTGCATTTCTACCTTGTATGATTTGTATTTTAAATAAACTTGTTTCCCTTTTTAACAACTCCCCGGTGGTTTCACCAAATGCACATCATTGGGAAAAAATAATTTATTCAGAAAAACAAATGTATGAAATATACGCCTATACATTGCATGTACTGATTTATCATTGAGTTAGAAATATCGCAATGCAGTCGTCAATTATGTAATAGTTTTTCGACGCTATTGTTAGTGATGTAAAGGTATCGCAATACTCTTGTCATCAGTGGAGAAGTCTTGGTGATATCATACTGTCATCACAAAGGGGCCAACCAGGCACTGGGAGCTTGTTTAGATGTGCAATATTTATATTCACACCTTTTTTTTTTCCAAGTCATTGTTTTTGAGTTATAATTATGACAAGCCAGAGCTTTGAGATGCGATCTAAAGTTTTGTTTGTGATAAGCACATATGTCATTATTCAGGTTCGTCTTTTGTTTTGAGTCCACGCTTTTTTTTTTTTGAATGGATTTGTCACCACTTTGTTGCACGGATGCCGAACACCAATCTCGAAGAGCTGACATGATGACTGTGCCGTATGGTTGCATCTGTCCAAACATGATTGTTTTACTAAACACGTGATTCACGTTTGTTTGCCTCATTCAACATCCGCCCCTCGCGTATAGAATAGCGATTTCAAATGGTCTACAAAACTCTTCCGAATATCAAGCCATTATTTATAAGAACAGGGTGTCACCTCCAGAGTCCCCCTGTGGTTACATCATGTGAAGGCACTGCACCCCTCGCCCCCTTTATTTTATTTTGAATTGTTGGCATGTCCCAGCCTTCTTTCTTTCTCTTCCAAAAAAAAAAAAGACGTTGTACATATTTATAACTAGTAGAGTATTTCCGAATCCAAATGGTAACTGGTGAATTTTCTCACCCCATATTGGGGATTTGTGTTTGATTTTTGTTGGAGAGGGAGGAGGGCATCTCGGAGGTCAATTTGTTCCAAATTCTTGCATTTCTACCTTGTATGATTTGTATTTTAAATAAACTTGTTTCCCTTTTTAACAACTCCCCGGTGGTTTCACCAAATGCACATCATTGGGAAAAAATAATTTATTCAGAAAAACAAATGTATGAAATATACGCCTATACATTGCATGTACTGATTTATAAAACATTTGTGCACAAACGACTAACCGAATAGTGAAAGGCTGAATGTGTTCCTCCGGTGTTGAAATTGTGCTTGACTGTACTGTACGTGACGCGACAGAATATACGATAAATAATACAAACACGGCGGTGTGTGGGAAGGCCGTTCAGTTTGATTCTGGTTCAGCATGAAGTTGTTTTCTCTTCCTTGATTTGGTCTCCACGACAACCAGCCTAGCAGCACCTCAAGAGATCGTCGTCATTGCTCCAACCAGAGCCGAGTATTTGTTCGCAGAGGTTTTGCGTTGGGTATGGCTGCTAGCATTCGAGTGTCCTCGATAGCTGCGTTAGTTTGCGCTGGCTGTCGATCACATTCAGGTTCTGAATGTAGTGTCGGATGTTGCTGGGATTCCGCAGAGGGAGGGCGTGGTCTGAATCTGCAAAGATGGGAGAACAATGAAGCAAGACAGTCAACAATGAGATCGTTCTTAATCATAGTTGCTGATAAATCTAAAAATTGACGCTGTGAATTGCGGAAATCCCGTTTTTATTGTCTTTTTCTTCGAGAGCATGTCGCTATGTATCAACAGTTCTTTCGATTGTAAGAGGTGCAAAATGCGAATTTTGAGTGGCACATTGCAATGCTTGCCCATCCAAAAGTATTGTAAATGCCTTTGTTTTTGTTGTCTACTGAGACATTTGGGTCGCAGATCAAAATCTGATCAAATCTGACACTAAAGTTCAGAAGTCCAGCTTTTATTTCGTGGTACTCAAAACAGACCCTTTTGTGTGAAGCTACCTACTTTTCAAGTGGGTAAAAGTATTAGAACATGTGAATGATTGGTGTCCCTTGCTCCGGAGTTGCCTTTTAGAATGACTGCTTAAACATTCGATAACATTTTTTTTTTTGTTTGTTTTGGGTTTCTCCTGTGAAAACTGCATTCGCTTTTAAGCAACCATGAAAACCAGAGAGCTCTCTATGGGACAAAAGCAAACCATTTTGAAACTGAGAGAAGAGGGAACATTGATCAAAGCTATTGCGCACACATTGAGCGTAGCCACGACAATAATTTGGAATGTCCTGAAAAAGAAAGAAACTACTGGTGTACTACGAAGCAACAGACACGGAACAAGGATATCAACAGCAGTTTTTGATGGGAACAATGTGAGCACTGTGACGAAACACCCCAAACCTGCCAACCTCCACAGAGCAGCTGTCACAATATCACCCTCCACTGTTCGAAGAAGACTAACGGGGACGAGACCATCTCCACCCAAATGTAATGTCTTACTTACATGTAGATATGCGAGTAGCAGGGCCTTCCAGAAACATTCTATCAGCGAGGCCTCGCTGTGGCGATGAAGGCACTGCGGAGGGAGTAGTAGCGCGTCAGTTGATGTCATTCAGCAGTTTTCCGCTACCACCGGATCACAGACCGGTACTTTTTGTCCACATGAAAACTGTCAACAATATTGACACTAACCATGAGGCTGGCTCCGGCAACGTCGCACCATTTTCACAGTCTTGGCAATCATGCGCTTGCGGAAGAAGAAGATTGAAGTGAGAAAACAAATGTCAGGAGCTATACAACTCAGTAAGCACAAGTCTGTCTTACCATCTTCTCAAAATTGACCAGTCGGTCCACTAAATTGGGGTTTCCCTCATGGATGAATGTCATGTCTGCCAAAAGACAGAACATGCAAGTCATTTTTCGCCAGTGATGTCAACGCACTGTACCGTTAATGTCCAGCGACGACAACCTTTGGTTACCTTTGAGTATGAGAGGCATGAAGGGAATGTAAGGGGGGCTGAGTTTGGCAACAGCCAGCCTGTAAGCTCGGTGGTTACGAGAAGGATCCTGGGCGCAAAACAGCATATTTTGCATTAGGGGGGAATGGCCACCAGGTGGCACCATTTTTCTTTCTATATTCCGTTTCCGTAGGAGACGTGACAGTGCTCTTTTTTTTTTTAGCATTTTTGTCCCACGTGCCAATGTTGTTGTTCGGTGATGTGCTACATACACACCAAGTAGTATATCAAGTGAGTCATAGGCATGCCACTGATGTTATTTAGACACCTGGAAACTGTGTAAAATAGTGAAAAAATGTGCATGGTGCGCAACGCCCCCCAAAAAAAAGATCTATTTTCAGTCCAACTTACCATTAACCTTTCGTAGGCGCAGTAGATTCTTTTTGTCTTACCGGGTATTCTCTACAAACAAACAAATAAAGGCTGATGATGAGAAATAATGGTGACATTACGCACACTCAAATGTCACACATGAAGTCGAAATGTCACCTCCCAGGTCTTATAAAGCCGACGCACGGCGCTGTTGCTCAAACCGAACATCACGGCAAAGAAAGAATTGAGATTCTTCTGCTCTTTTAATCTGAAAGGACATTAAGCCAGTTGGTGAGGGGAAACGTATTTTGAATGTGAACGCTTTCAGTTGTCAGCCTCGGGTTGAGGCCTTTCTATTCCGCAGAACAGATAAATGAGTTTTTCTTTCTCATTTATCAGACTGAAATGCATTACAGACACCTGAGTTTTTATGCCATTAATCATGAACAACAAACTTCCAAATGAACAGTTGCACGATCATAGTTGCAATTTTTCTTCAGCGAGACAGACTCTTACACTGCAGCAATCTTGACGAACTTTTTGAGCAGGATAGCTCGTTTGACCAGGTCTTCACAGAGGCAGAGCTCGCTCACCACCCAGTACTGAACCTCGTTGAAGCGACGCACAAAGCGCTCCAGGTTGGCCGTTACGGCGCCCGGGAACTTTTGACGGCCAAAAACGTAATGGACAAGCTCTGCCTGGAGGAACAGAAAGAGGATTATCATCCTCGGTGTGGTGATGAAAATACAAGAGGAACCAATCTTCTAAAACAAAAAAAAACCTCAATCCTGCTATAAAATGCTCTAAGTGGAAATGAACATTTGCTTTGCACTTGATGGAAAATGATGACTGACCTCATGCATGGCTGTGAAGAGTTCCCAGTCGTAGTCGGTGAGTTCACTGGCGAGGTCCTTGGAGCACGTGTGCTCAAATGTGTTGGCACTTCCTTGCTCGGGACCCTGCTGCGCTTTCATGGGCATCTGAGTGAAGAGAATCAGAGAGAGAGTAGATAGAGGATGAGGCGGAACCATATAAGGTGTGTCTGAAAAGTTCCAGGACTGGCATCTCAACAAAAATACCCCAAATGACAAATTTTGCTTTGCAATATACTTTGTAGCTTAGAAAAGCAACCAGCACATCGATTAAGTTGCCCCAAATATCAGACCATGCATAGTTTATGAAAGAAATGAACGTGTGCTCAGACGATGTTTTTTACCAGCAGCTTGTCCAATTTCCTTTGCTTTTAAAACCACATTCAAAATATCCTCACCAGTTTTTCGACTTGGCTTCTGGTGCAGAGAAAGAGTCTCTCGTTGAGTCCCAGCGCGGTGAACACGCCGGTGGCATCCAATTTCAACTCCGCTCTTTCTGTCAGGGTGTTAAACGGTAAAGAGTTGGTCATGGTTTTTACAAGCATAGAAAGAAAAGCAGAAAATGTGTTTGTGATTTGCACCTCCTGCTGAGTTCATCTTGACCAGCACGTGATCTCCTCCGGGTTTGACCAATGACAGCATCACTTCCTGGACGGACATGTTGACCGGCAGCATCAGCGTGAGAGCTTGGTGGTCTGGCGTGTAAATCTCGTACAATACTGCACCCCAGAGCAGAGCGTCACCGCATTACTTTGTTGTTACTACATAGGGCCGAGGCGACTTTTCCACGTTGTAGGCCAAAACAAGCCCAGTTTGGCTTTGTGAATACGGAATCTGTCTGATTAGATTGGAATGTTTTGACAGCTCACTTTTATCCTGCGCTCTCATTGGCTGTATCCGTCCAACAGGCTCCTCACTCTGAGGAAACCAGTCAAATGAGTTGTTCTGTTGAGAGGACATCAGAGCAAAATAGCAACAACAGGGAATCAACACATTTGTATCGCCATTTTGCACCTTTGCTTGAGTATTTATAAAGATATTCCTCAATTTAGCTAACACAATGTATGATTTACACCTTATCTTTTTCAGGATGCGAGGCAACCTGACAAGCTGATTTGCATTTTTCATTTGGGACCAGTCTATTGCATCAGGTCACACGTTGCCATCATAAAAGATTTATTAACTGTACAGGAAATATTTAAGTAACATTTTAACTGAGATTAAAAAAAAGTGAAACCTTCATAACAAGAGTTATGAAGAAAATGATCATGATGACTCCTTCATTTATACATAAATTTATTTTTTTTGAATTTATAAAACATTGCCCGGAGACTCTCATTAAAAATTGTAAATGAGCATCTTCAATATAAGAGATTGGACCATATTAGAGAGCGTGTCTCTTGCGCCTTGAAATGAATACCGCTGAATTGACATATACCGACCCTCACACTATGGGTCCGACGTCATAGCTGTCTGTCATAAAGTTATGCTAATGAACAGGTCGAGCCGCGGGAGTTAGAGATGATCGGATAGGGATGCAAAATGGGGAAAGAGACATTTCATAATTCGGTTAAGTCAACTTGCTACATCGCCTTTTAAGAGGAGAAATACTATATCACAGTCCAGAGACTTCTATCAGAGACTTAGCTTTTGGATAAATTTCAAATAGCATGGCTAATACTTTACTTTGCTTTCCCTGTCTCCTTTTTGAAACATTGGGATCTGAACCAGCAGTATAAGAGAGGTACAGTAGACTGATTTCAAACACATTTCAGAAAAGGCAAAGAAGCATGTACAAACAGGGATTCACACTGGAAATCCATTGCGACGAACCATGCCTGGAAAAATAAATACTCAAAGCCAGCTTGATGAAGGCTAGAGGATATGAAACCAAAAGCACAATGGGGGGGGGTTGACAAAAACACATACATCCTCTCTTGCTCTCAATATATATCCAGCCATCCATTTTCCGATTCGCTTATCCTCACAAGGGTCGCAGGGGATGCTGGAGCAGATCCCAGCCATCTTCGGGCAGTAGGCGGGGGACACCCTGAATCGGTTGCCAGCCAATCGCAGGGCACACACAGACGAACAACCATCCACACTCACACTCACACCGAGGGACAATTTTGAGTGTTCAATCAGCCTGCCATGCATGTTTTTGGAACGTGGGAGGAAACCGGAGTACCCGGAGAAAACCCACACAGGCCCAGGGAGAACATGCAAACTCCACACAGGAAGGCCGGAGCTGGAATTGAATCCGGTACCTCTGCATTGTGAGGTTGATGCGCTAACCACTGGACCACCGGGCCGCACCTCTCTCTCTCTCTCTCTCTCTCTCTCTTCTGTACTACACTGTACATTTAAGGCGTTCAAATTTAGGGTGCTCATACACAGTGCATCCGGAAAGTATTCTCTCTCTCTCTCTCTCTCTCTCTCTCTCTCTCTCTCTCTCTCTCTCTCTCTCTAGATAGATAGATAGATAGATAGGTAAATAGATGGATATAAAAATAGACATGAGTTCTGTGTTACATTTGAACTTGCTCATCTTGGCCACGGTCATGTTCTGTCTTGATTGTGTTCCAGCTGCAGCTGGAGTGAAGGGCGTTTCCCTCCAGCAGGTGCACCTGCGCCTCGTTACCCCATCAAGCTTGGCTGTGTATTTAAACACTCCGACTTCTGCCACTCCTTATCAGATTATTGACCTTGCTTGTTGTTGTGCTTCAAGTGTGATTTGCTAGCTATCTCGATACTATTCATCGTTGCTCTTGTTTTGTTCATAGATCCTTGTTTATTAGTACTTTTGTTACTCCAATATTGCTCTTTGTTTTTGTGTCATTGGGCTTTTGGATATTTAGTTTGGCTGTTCTCTGTGTTTCATTGAACCTTGTCTTTTGCAGTTGCTTTTGGTTTCATGCATTGTTTTTCCTGGCACCTCGTGACCAGCGATTTTCTTTAACAAATATTTTTGTCATCGCACTTTGTCTGAGCCTGCATTTTTAGAATCCTAAAACATTATTTGGTTCGGTCAGTACCTAACGGACACAATGAAAGTGAAAGCTCAGAAAATTCAAATTTTTTTAAAAAGATGAGTGGATTCCAAATCATTCCGGACTGTAACGCTGGAATCATTGAGAAATTTGCTTCTCTCAAAGAAACAGCAAAATCTACAAACGAAAATTAAAACATGACATGACATTATGTTGCTTTTGTAGTTTTCATTTAAGTAAATAGCCTACACTTGCTTTTGGTATACTGTACGTCTATTGTGGATTCATAGAATCCCTGGATAACATTCCTCCAGTCAGATAACAGTAGATATGATAGCTATGACGATAGAGAGCCAGGCAGACAAAGAATTACAGCCCTTACCCTGCCCAATGAATGGTATCCATTCTCCAACCTGGTGAAGATGACAATATACTGCATTAGCTGCGTTCCAAGTCTTGAGGAGTGCTAGGATGCTTTAAGAGCATTACGCTTTTGTTTTCCTTCTGTCCCGGAATTGATCTTTCAGCACGCCAAACAAATGAAAATTAGCTGCAATGTCCTTCTTCAGCTTCTGTTCGGGAGCACACAAGAAATATACAAATACACACATATTTTTAAACGGCATTTCTAACCAAGTTGGGATGTTGTGCAAAATATAAATAAAACACATATTACAATGATTTGCAAATCTTTTTCAACCTATATCCAATCTAATACACAACAAAGACAATGTACAGTATTTAATGACCAAACTAAAAACTTTGTTTTTCTGAAAATATTCACTAATTTTGAATGTGATGCCTGTGCCGTATTTCAATAAAGCTGCGACAGGGGCATGTTTACCATGGTTATGCTACACAATGGCCCATGCGTTTTCAGTGACAGACAGGTCTGGACTGCTGGCAGGCCATTCTCATATTCTCCCTCTTTTACTACAGATCCCTGCTGTTGTTACAAGTGCAGAATAATGCTTGGCATTGTCTTGCTGAAATAAAGGACGATCCTGGAAAAGACACAGTTTTGATAGTAGCATAATTATGTTGCTCCAAAACCTTTATGTACCTTTCAGTATAAATGGCACCTTCACATATGTGCAAGTTACTCATGGCATGGGCACTAATACACACACATGCCATCACGGATGCTAGGATTTGAACTTTGTGCTGACAAGTCTGGATGGTTATTTTCTTATTTGGTACGCGGGACATCCATGATTTCCAAATACCATTTGAAATTAGGACTCGTCAGACCACAAGACTCTATTGCATTTGGTGTCAGTTTATAACAGATAAGCTCGGTCCCAGACAAGCCGGTGTCGTTTCTGGGTGTGATAGTTATATAGCTTTCACTTTGCATGGTGGAGTTTTAACGTGCAGTAGATACAGTGTGTGAACTGTGGTTTTATATCCTTTACACACTGATGTTGGTTTTTGATACAGCGTCACCTGAGGGATTGAAGGTCATGGGCATTCAATTTTGGTTTACAGCCTTGCTGCTTAAGTGAAGTTCTGTCCAGATTTTCGGAATTTTTTTGATGATATTAGGGACCGTAGATGATGAACCCCCTACATTCTTTGCAATTGTAAATTGAGAAACTTAAACTGTTGGGACTATTTGCTCACACATTTGTTCACAAAGTGGTGGTCCTCATCTCATCCTTGCTTGTGAATAACAGAACCTTTGATGCTGCTTTTGTACCTAATTATGACACTTCCCTGTTTCAAGTTAACCTGTGAAATGTTCCAAACAGCTGTTTTGAAGCATTCTTCAACTTTCCCATTCTTTTGTTGTCCCTTTCTTAGCTTTTTTTGGAACATGTTGCAGGCATCAAATTTGAAAAGAGAGAATACTGTATTTGAAAAAATGTTTTTACATGCATTATCATGTCCTTGATGTGGTATAGGTTGAAAAGGATTTGTAAATAATTGTATTGTTCTTGTTATATGTTACACATCATAACTTCATTGGAATTGAGGTTTGTACAACTGATCTCACGCCTCACCTCCAGAAAGGTTATGGCAATGGGGTCTTCTCGCAGCGGCAGACCATACAGCGCGACCCATTGGCCAACCAGCTTCACCACCTTCTGCTTCGTGTTGAGAACGTAGGCAGCCTTGTCTTGCTCGGATCCCTCAGAGAGCTCTGCCTGGTAGGTGCATCGCCAGTTAAGAAACAAAGCCAATAACATAAAATCCAGTTTATTGAGCGTATTGGTACACAAGCATCCATCCATCCATTTTCCGAACCGCTTATCCTCACAAGGGTGGTGGACGTGCTGGAGCCTACCCCAGCTGTCATGGGGCATTAGCCAGTGTAAATCCTGAACTGGGCGCCAAACAATAGCAGGGCACACAGAGACCAACAATCATTCACACTCATAATCACACTTGGGGAAAATTTTGAGTGTTCAATTAACCCTTTCAAGGACAGCGGTTACGATAGTGGACAGCTTATCATGTTATCAGGTTACCGGGTGCATGAAAGGGTTAACCTACTGTGGATGTTTTGTGTGTGGATTGTGGGAGGAAAACCGTAGTAGGTACAGTATATACAAACAGTACCCACTGAATTTAAAAGTTTTTTTTTTCCCCCAACATGTCAACGGAATTGGATCGTAAGCCGCTCATGTACGTACACCTCAGCCTGCTAGTGTCAGTCGTGTGACACAAGTAGAGTTAATTGATGGTGTCAAAATGGAGAGGATTATAGTAAATCCCCTCTGTTTAAGCCAGCCCCCGCAATATGTGAAAATAATCCGTAATATAGAAATATCCGGTTTAAATACACTTTAGGCATGTTTTAATGGCATTTATGGCACTTGAAATGTTTTTTTAGGGTCTTTAGTCACACTTTTGAATCATTACAAACACATTTATACACATTTAATAAGAGCGCAAGCGTAATGGATAACAAAAATATTGTTTGAACAGGAGAAAAAAGTAGATTTGCAACTGCAAAAACGCTGCCAAAAAACTACAGTGGTACTGCAAAATCTGAACTGCGGTATAGTGTTGGTTTACCGTACAGCTAAAGCGAAACTTAAGATATTCTAATTGTTTCAACAAAATGAAGACAATATACAACTAAAAGTTTTGAAATTTGCGGCTTAATGAGGGAATTTAACAGCATATTCTATATTTAGAGCGTAAAGATTTGAATAGATGTGAATTGAACACAAATGACTTAAGGATATTGATTCTGCAGTGCAGGACACAGTTGACTGGAGGGCATAAAGACTCTGTGGGTGAGGAGGAAGTCACTCACACATGAATCTAGCGGGCAGAAAAAAAACGTTGTGACACACATGTGGTACACACTATTTGTCAACCAAACAAGAAAAGACGAGAAAAACCTCTCACCGATTGCATCATTCCCATTGGAGTCCAATTTGACCGTTTCCAGGAGGTGTTCCAGGATCTTTTCTGGCGTTCCTGACATCACGGTGTACCTACACAGAACAAGAAATACATTAACTGCACTGTCGTATGTGGACATTAATTAAGTATGTAAGGAGCTGTCAACAAGGTTTTTAAACATTTGAATCTGTTTCTTGATGTAATTGTGACTCTGATTAGCTGTTTGTCTATGTGTGCACTGCGATTGGCTAGCAAACAGTTCAGGGTGTACCCCGCCAACTGCCCGAAGACAGCTGGGATGGCCCCCACACACCGGCGACCCTCATGAGGACAAGCGGCTCAGATAGATGGATGAATGGATAATTTGCAATGGGGCATGTGGAAACATATCAATCGAACAGTATTTAAGGGATCCCTTACTTGTTTCCAGCTCCTCCCTGCTCAGGTGGGTCAGCACATTTTTCCAGCACCAGCACAGTTTTCCCATGCTCCTCCAGTCGCACCGTGTTAGCCTCTACATCCTGAAGTCAGAGAAATGCATGAATACAATGTTAACTATTGCACAACAACAAAACATGAGGATACAGTTAGCTAACCTTGAGAATTCGTATGAAGTCATGCTTGTCCACGCGCAAGAAGTGACAGTTATCCTCCCTCAGGATTATTGTGGCGGCGCGCGGGGCGTCATTCAGCAAGGCGAGCTGCCCAAAGTCCTCGCCCTCGTGCAATGTGGTCACCAGACCCTGAATGCACACACCCCACATAGTCAATGTTGTTTTTAAATAGATAGAAATAATGCGGCATTAACCTCTTTCAATGTTGATGATCCGGAAAATTTGTATTGGAAAGCCCCAGTTTAACCAATATGGCCTACTCTTATTTGCAGATTTTTCCTGAGTCCAGAAATTTCAAGTTTGTGTTTTCGTCGTGAATTTTATTTTTCAATTTAATTTAAATATGCATGCATTCAGTCAAGGATGGGTGACTTAAATGCTGGAGGGGCCAATAATGACATTTTCAATGTCATTATTGAAAATACATGTTTCTAATTATGTATAAAAGATCCGCTATCCTAACCCAACAACAGAGGGTTTGAAGCCAACAATAAAATAACCACATAATGCATTTTTTTTCCAGTACACAGGACTCTCTTGCATAAAAAATCCATCCATCCATTTTCTATTCCATTTATTCTCACAAGGGTGACTGCTGAGCAAGAAACCAAAATTGAGTCGTAAAATGGGAAACGCAGTGCACTTACAGAGCTCTTTATCCACACCATATGGTGCTTGACAAAGCCTCACATTGACCCATTCACACAGACATTCATACACCAATGGGAGGCTGCAGCCTTCCATATTAGCAGTTCAACACCCATGGATTTGCACATCTGAGGATTTTTTTTCCCCCATATATTTCTCCCAATATTTTTTTTTCACATTTTGGATTTTAAACTGGGATCCCCCAACCCCCATTTTACCCCATTGTTATTGCAATTTCATTGTGTGTTTATCAGCGTAAGGCAATTTACCTTCCCGTGCGTGATCACATTGACCGAGCCTTTCCAGATGATGTACCAGGAAGTGCCTTTGTCTCCCTGACTGAACACTTGAAAAACAACAAAAACCTCTCAGTGGAACATGTCACAAGAGTGCATTGACATGTACCATCACATGTACAAAAAGCTTTTTCATTTATGTCTACACATTGTGACTGAACCCTGACCGCATCTTTCATTCTTATGGTACAAGCGCTCTTGAATGCCTGATTGTACACACACTTGACTGAAAGGTAGTGTTACGCTGAAAAGAGGATCTTCACAATGAGATGTGTATACGTGGATAAAAGTTGGCCAACTTACAGACGGTACCGGCCTTAGCATGTGATTCAAACACCAGCACAGCTGCCAGCTCCCTCCGCACCTACAGGGACAGCACGGATTAAAGTTGGCTTCAAAAGATGAAAAATCAAACTATGAAATGCTGTTTCCTTTGAACAGAACATCTTGCAACTACATTGAAAAGTATTCTTGTTGCATGGGGAATACTGGGTGTGGTTAAAAAAAATGATTATGAATCATTTAATATCGCACATATTTCAAAAAGGAATCAAATAAAAGCACCACACGGTACAGTCATGGGTTAAAATGATGATAGAGATTTTCTGTTGATCGGATATTGATTGTGAATTCTATCAAAGATGCAGATGACTGGAGAAATGGGTCAATAACCCTGACTGACCGAGGCGGAAAGATGAGCGGCGGCCTTGAGATGGAGAAGCTCCTCAAAAATGACCTCCAGGTCCTCAGCGCTTCTCTGATTTGGACTAAACAAAACAGGCGTGATAAGACAAACATACAAATGGATCCATACAGAGAAAAATTGGAATTGTCCATCCATGAGGTCATTCAGGGCGAATCCAAGATCATTTTCATCCCTCACAGACTGAGATAGACGTGTTAATATGAATGAAAGGACAAATGCTTGCAAATGTTTGCAGTTAATGTGGTGCCTTGAGATTCAAGTGACCTGACTGAGTTGAACATCTTGATTATTTTATATGTATTTTTTTACATGTTAAAAGCACATGATTTTATGATTTAGCCTAATGCTAACAAAAATGCAAATCGCCTTATACAGGTTAACAAATAGCATTGGTGTCAGGGTTTTATCACCTTTTAAGTCATAGTTAAAAAATATATTGGAGTAACATATAGACAATATAGCAATTTTCATGTGTTCTTTATCATTCGCGAACACTGTGTAGTACTGGACCTGAATGAGTCGTTAAAGTTTTTTTTGTGTGTGTTTGTGTCTGTATTTTCATTGCCCCCACATAGCGTACAAGAGAAGGAGCAACAACTGTTTATTAAGCATATTATATTTTATTGTCATCACTGTGTGCTTTTAATTATAAACTGCTATTTTTATGATAAAAAAAACAACACTTTTTTGGTTTTTCTTGGGGGGGACTGGGGGTAAGGTGGAACGGATTAATGGCATTTCCATTGATTTAAATAAGGAAAAATGATTTGCAATACAAATGTTTTGAGTTATGAGTGTGGTCACGGAACGAATTAAAGTGGTATCTCAAGGCCCCACTATATGCATTTGTAAATGCAAAGTCAGATGTTTATATATGCACATGTGTCTGTATGGGGGCTCAACTTTTCTATTTCAAAACATCGACATAATTAAAGATGAACAGAATACACCAAATGTTTTGTGTGAGTTAAATCAGCACTCCTTCAGTACATCACTGAATATTGGTTCCAATGTTTATCTACAGCGCCACAAAAAGTGTAATCAGCACACAAAGTGTAATCAGTTATTTGGTCCATTAAAATAAGGTAATATGAATGACATGTCATTTAAAATACGGCAAGCTAAACAATGATGACACATTGTGCCACGTGGGAGATGGAGAAGTTAAGACGGCCTGCAAATTCCATGAAATCACAAAGCGATTGAGCTTTGTAGGTCTTACTGGAAAAACAAACACAGGCCCAACCTCCCCAGGAACTGGATATAATTAACAACCTGGTCAGCTGTTTTGTACGGTCCGATGATTTGTGATGGTTTGTGATGTGAATGTTGTGACTGGCCGGTGAAGTGTGTTCTTGAAGAGCCGTCGCACTGACCATTTGCGTAGGATCATCGTGAGCAGGGCGTCAGGGCCCAGCTGAGACAGCAACGACAGGCTTTCCTGCAGCTCGTCCTCCGAGTCCTTTGTTAGGTGGTTCAGTCCACACTCGGAATCCAGGAAGCGATAGAACTGCGTGTCTTTGTCGTGAAAGTTCGCTTCGTGTTTCACTTGGCACGGCAAAGACAAGGAAAACACGAGTCAACCAAATAAACGCGGCTTATTCGGTTGCAAGCGTGTGCAAATGAAATGGAAACATTGGATTAGGGGTTGCCATGGCAACAACTAAGGTTCTATTCTCCTCATTACAAGTTAGTGAGTGTATCCTCTATATGCGCTTGACATCCATCCATCCATCCATTTTCTGAACCGCTTCATCCTCACAAGGGTCGCGGGGGTGCTGGAGCCTATCCCAACCATCTTCGGGCAGTAGGCGGGGGACACCCTGAACCGGTTGCCAGCCAATCGCAGGGCACACAGAGACGAACTATGCGCCTGACATGATTTATTGTAATTAGTGTTGCCACCTTTGAAATCTGGAAATAATGGACACTCCTTACGACGTTGCGGCAAAACCACGCGGGTGAAAGAAATTTAAGGGTTTGGCTCTCCAAAACCCTGAAATGCATTAGAATCACATGTAAATTTTTACTATTACATAATACTACAATAAAGATGACTATAATAAAGATAACTAAAATAAAATTTGTGTGAACCTAAATGAAAAGATGAAAAAAAAAGTGCAAAACAATCAGGCAGCGGCATCGCAAAGGGGGATGGGCTGCTTGCGTGCAGGCAGGCAGAGAGAGGATTTGGCATAGAGCAGAGGACAACGCACCAGACGTAGGCTACGCTCGGGGTTCCTGCGTACCTCACGCCAATACCACGTTGCTGTCTTTAACATTTCCTGTCTTTTATTTTGCTCCTTATTATAAAAGTCAGTGTTCACGTTTGTGTGTGACAGACGCATGGGACATGTTGTTTTGTGCGGAGTTCAATTCAGTGCTTGTGGAATGCCCATTATATGACTGAAAATCAGTGCAAATCTATTCCAAGTGACCCACTTCAGTGGATGATGGAGGGTGTCTCGCTTGATTGGACTTTTGTTTTCCAACCAGACAACGCGCCTTCTCTTGTAGTTAGCGTATACTTGACTTGAGTGAATTTTGCGCGTGCACGCTCAAGTTACCACATTTTAAGCCTCTCAAGCATGTCTGAGTGCTGCCCGTGATATCATTAGCTGAATATTTTAATGAATTAGCTGAATATTTGAAAAGAAATAGCAGTGAATAAGAATATCGTGAGCGGCACGGTGAGCGACTGGTTTGCACATCGGCCTCACAGTGCAGGAGTGCAGGGTTCAATTCCGGCTTTGGCCTTCCTGTGTGGAGTTTGCATGTTCTCCCTGTGCCTACGTGGGTTTTCTTTGGGTACAAGTATCCCTAGGTGTGAGTGTGAGCGCAAATGGTTGTTTGTCAATATGTGCTGTGCAATTGGCTGTCAAAGCAGTTCAGTATTGCCCAAAGACAACTGGGATATAAGCTGCAGCATGCCCGCAACCCTGGTGAGGAAAATCCGATTTGAAGATGGATGGATGGAAGAAGATTGTTGCGATAGTGACTCAATGGTGATTTGACAGCACCATTTTGCTTTATTGATTTCTTTTCAGTGCGTGCTCATGGTAATCACCCTTCAACAGATCATATTTTCTTGAACCTTTCATTGAGCTCAGCAAGAGCGCGACATTCAGTCAATATTTGGTCAAGTTTGTTTGGGGTAGCCAGGCTGAATTTGTTTTTCCTCATGTTTCTCTTCATTTTCAATATCAGTAATTCCTGATGTCTGCTGAAGTGATTGAAATCTCAATGTCCTACCGTGAACCAGGATTCCTTCGTCCACCAGGACCTGCCACATTCCGACCGCCTGGCTTCTCAACTGCAGGCCTTCATTTTGTCCCATCAGCCAGTCGACAAGTTCCTTACCAGAGCAACATTGTCTGTGACAGCAATCACACATTTGAATTCGAATGTGAGTCGCAGAAGTTGTCATTTGCTATGGGCACAATTTTTCGTAAATCCATGTATTGGTTTGTTCTTAAAGATTGTCGAAATGTTCGAGAAGCTAAATGTAGCATAGTGAGGTTAGTAATGGAGGCATAACTGAATTTGTCAGGTAGCAGCAGAAAGAAAAAGGCTTGATTAGTTGTTTTCTTTGAATGTTGCACACGATACAGCACAGTAACGGAATGATGGCTATATGTGCGCAGGTTCATGTCGAGACAGATGTTTGCACTGTCATCTAAAATTCTTTTTAAACTTTAATAAAAAGTACATTACATCAGTAATTGATCATCAACTTGACCAAGTCAATTTCTAATGCCCATCCCTTGTCGTCATACATTATAAAATGGAAGCAACCTTCATGTTACCTGTGAGTTTTGAGGTGATACTTTCGATCTCGGATCAAGCCGGGGTTCCTCACGACCATCACACTGTACACCGACCTTGCGGCCTTCACCACGCGATCCGAGAGGAACTTAAACACACAGACGGGGAGCAGTGAGTCATTAAGCACACAACTATATTTATATCGGGGCCATGAATGTGACATTTGATTGTGTTTTATGATGCCGAGAAACAGGCTGAGAAAAAGCTGGGACACGCATGGTTTTGTGTATTCAGTCTCAGCGCATACGTATGTGTGAGCGAGTGAGCTAACATCAGGAGCACACGTGAAGATCTTTGTAATTTGTGTTGAAATTGGTCTCGCAAGCTTGGGTCTGACACGACCGCCGTCAGTCAGTTCCCATTCAACATGCCATTTCATTCCTCGTCACTCTCCCTGGCATGCACGCAACCCGAGCAGGTCCGAGACTTGAAAAGACCTTGCATGGCTGAAGCCCTGTTAGCCACTGGTGCAGAAACAAGTCTTATGTAACAAGAAAGTGAGTCAATGTGGCTCCCCTCTTTTTCCATTTCTTGTTAACACACCAACAAAGTGCAATGTTAATTTTGCTTCACCCTCCTTGCCTCACCCTGTGCTCGGCCTTGTGATTCTACAAGTACCTCAGACGATTGTCTGTTTGTGTTGCAGAGTTCCCACCAGGTATTGCTGTTTGCCCAAGGTGGTAGGTAACATTATCAAAAAAAAAAACCCTTGCGGAAAGCATGTTGTGCGTGGTTTTCTGTACGTAGGCTGCCAAAATTCACCCACCCGACTCGCCACATGAATACAGTTTGGAAAAGGCTAAGCACTTACTTTTGCTTGCTTCTATAAACACAGAAGACACTTGGGCTGGACTTACAACGCAGGTCATCCATGAGATGAAGCTAAGCTAAATGGAATACAATACAATACAATACAGCTTTATTTACGTAGCGCTTTTACAACCGCTGCAGCTATAACAAAGCGCTTTACAGAACATTTAAGTCACTACGTCCAATAAATCTGAATATTGAGCTACATATAAGGTGCATCGGATTACAAGGCGCATTGTCGGCTTTTAAGAAAATTCAACGCTTTAATGCTCACCTTATAGTGCGAAAAATACGGTACATCAGCGTCAACACTGAATAATGACATGGCTATCTATATACGCACCAGGTAGCCCCCAAGGACCACATGAGTAGCCTGCAGGCCTGTTATATATATAATTTTGATATTTTTTACAATGTGATTCCACGTGGGTTTTTTTTTCTATTTATGCTGCCATGACACAGATCCCAATTGTGTACTTTGACAGCAAAATCTCTAAACTGTATCACTGCGAACCATGTGGTTTAATCCAGCCACAAAATCATCAATGAACAGAACAGTGGTTGTGTCAACGGTCCTCAAAAAACCCGACACGCATTATGTTATCTGCTAAAGCCTACTTAGTCTTCAGTGAAACTAATGTAGAGTAAAAGTGTTTTTTTTGCAAGCAGCCTAAAGTCTTCAATGAACCCGATGTACAGGTTTTAGTTGACATCAACAACTCTTTCGAGTCTTCTGTCACATTAATGTTTTCACAACACCAAAGTCAATTCTGAAGACTTCCACGAACCTGACGAACTGTATGGGTTTTCATGAACACCAGCAACTCTTTGGTCTTTTCTGACCCTTAACGTATTTTTTTCAAAACACCAAAGTCAACTAAAAGCCTATTTCTTTTGATTTTACAATTTGAGATGCAAAATCTTGAGTAGCATATTTCCAAACAGAAAAGCCCAAAATATGCAAATAAAACAGAAATGGCCATATCGTCGAGTAGATTGCTATCTGTATGAATGACAAACTCATGTACGATGGAGTGCAGTCTGAATTCACACAGCCTGCTATTATTAAGGTGGTGTATCAGTGGTGGTGAGATTAAGGAGACTCTGGCTTGTCCCCTGGCTCAGGGGGTAGAGTTGTTGTCTCCCAATTCGAAGGTTGTGGTTCACTCCTGAGCCCTTGTGATCATATCGAAGCACGGCACTGGACTACCAATTGCGCCCAATGCTCTGTCAATAGTTGGTAGGTAAATCAGGAGCCAGCCATAAAAATTCATCAAGTATACTACTTGAAGATGGAAAAGAGCTGCACAAAATGAAAGCCAATTTATTTTGTACCAATAAGTATGTGAGTCTCACAATATAAGTATAAAGAAAATAACAGGCAATCTTGGTTGACATAAAAATAATATTTAGTCTTTGCTCTGTGATGACAGCTGGGCTCGTGACATAATCTGTTCCACGCACTTCAACTAGCCTGTTCCCAGACCTGCCGTGCCCCCAAATAAATCCACCCTGGGTCCTGTCCTGTCTGACTAAAATGATGAAGTCATGAGCGCAAGGTCCATTCGTGTTTCCCAGGGGCCCATTTCCCTTTTCGACCCCCACTGGGATATTCTCAGGGAGCAACTTATTTTTTTTTTCCAGGAGACAAACTGTCCATTACCCAAGCAGGCTATTGCAAAAACACTATTAACAGTCATATTTTATTTTGAAAGCCAGGCTTATTCAAACTGACTGTCACACTGAATCATAAGCGAATGCAACAAATTGATACAGTGACTCAGTCTGTTTACCTTCACATCTTACTCGGCCTCTCCAACTCAAATTCCCGGGCGGAATTTTGGGCCCAGCTGCTATATCTTCAGAAATTAGGTGAGTGTCCCACTACACTCTTTATCTGTGTTATTTCTTACATATGATTAGCATTTTTTTTTTTTTTTTTTTTTACAAAATAATGTGTAGTTAAAATATTCTTTGTTAAGCGTGAATATAGACACAATCGTGACATGTTTAAAGTGACTCGTGGCAAGCCACTAGTTTCATGAAGCTAACCCATTTTAGTGCTATGGATTAGGTCAGCCGGAAAAGTGCCTCCTAATTGGAGCGTATTGCCAATTAGCATTTCAGAGGGATACATACTTTCGTCAAAAAGGGAAAAAAACTATGACAGACCCATCATGATTTGCCACTCCAACACTGCATTACAATAATTGGTTTGTCAGGTCCATGCTGTCATGCAGAGAGATGTTCATTCTCACACATGCTTGAAAGCATTTCATAGCCGGGTTGCTATTGTCTACACTTCTGCACCAGCATGTTGCCTTTGTGCATTCCTTGAGTCATTAGTATTGTTGTGTGGACTGACTCCGCCTACCATGTCAACACTGTGTGATTTGACAGGGAGATTTGAAGGCACTATGACGTTTGCAACGAGGAATGGCACACTCTTTCCAAGTAGCTGCTTTGAACAGTAGGCGTTAAGACTGGTGAAATGATGACTACAGGAGGGTGTGTGAACCCAACATATGGTCTTCATCTACCGTCACCCATAAGACAACATTTGCATTATCATTTTATTACAGCCATATAATCATGTAATACATTAATAGGAGATTTGAAATTCTGTTCTGATATGTGGCTTAAATAAAAAGACTTCACCATAATACTTAACCATATTTACAATTTGGTATGTACATTTGGATGAATTAGTGAAGCCTGTGGTAAAAATGTATGCGAGCTGGATTCTGATTCAAATTGTCCGATTACAAATTAATTAAGATTCTTAGCGCATTATCCAGGTGAGTAAGCATAAATAAGAGAATTTCTATTTGCGGTAACATTTCTAGTGTAGATTCAAATTACCGGATGACTAATTGCAATAAATCCGTTTCCTATCATATTATTCTGTTAAATTAGCTCAGATTTGAGAAGTTCCTTTTGCTGCAAAAAGGTGAATTCATGAGTCATGAATCTCAAATATGCGCAGCAACACTATTATGAAAATGATTTTCATATCAAGACGACAGCAAACAGAGATGACTTGAATTCTATTGTCATTTACAGTGTCTAGACTCCAAATACTATTCTCCCACAGTGTTAAACCTTGTTTATCAGTGTGCCGCTGCTTCTCCTCCTCTTACCACGTTAAGGCAAGCTGAGATAAAGGGGCCCAGACCAAGTTGACAGGGGGGGAGGGGCGGTCAATTAGCAGTGAGCACTCAAGTGCCCTTTATACTCCTTATGACTGCCTGCCTTGCCAGGAATGTGCATTTCAAGACTCGCATGGTCGGTGGCACAGGATATTATGCACAACCGAAGAACAAATTCAGCACTTTGAGAGGATGTAAGCGCTGCACAGCTCCACCAGGAGGGAGACAAACTCCAAAAGGAACTTCTGCCTTTGGGCCATGCTTGGATTGTTGCTTCATATACACACCTGCTTCATTGTGTCCTTTGAGTCCAGCGCCTCTGGAAGTGGAGTCTATGAGAATGAGAAATAGAGGGAGGTTATCACCGATGAGCTATGTCTGCATATCTAAATAATAAAGTTTAACCAAAGCCAATCAATCCAAATTTAGAATAAGCCCAATGAGTATCACCTAAGTATTTCTGTTTGATTGTCTATCGATGCCTTAAAAACTTGAAAGTCCCCCCAAATTCCTAAAACCGTACACCTTGACATTCTGCCTGTGTGAATTATTCACTGTCTCTGCTAAAGATGGGCTAATTTCAGCCAGCCTTAAGGGATTAACAGAGGACAAACAACAAATCACCTGAAGTTACCATGAAATAAGTGGACTCCCATTACAAATGGAAAAGACAGTGGTGTCCAAATACTTTTGTCCATAAGGAAGTGCCTCGTTATTATAATAGAAGGGGATGATTGCAAATAATAAGGTGGATGCTGGAGAAATAGTGTGACTGGTGTGGTGACCAGCTAGCTAGCTACCATGTAATGTGCGTGTTATGCGTTAACATTTTACATTCCATTTGCCGTGGATTTCATTTTATTAGTGTGTGACAGGTAACCTATACAATGAGATGATTCTTCACTCCAAGTGTACTTGGATTTTTCTTGGCTATCCTGAAATGCTTATTTTAAATAAGAGGTGTGAAGAGAAGCATCGGAAATTACATGCCAAATTAGCAACATTGTCACCATATTTATATTAAGCTTTTCAACGCCTCTCGTAACATTTATTTTTGGGGGGTTGGGGGGGATTACTTGTGACTTTGATTGCTACTTAAAAATGTAATCGCACTGAACAATGCCAAAGGCATGCCCGTTTATATTTTGCAAAAGCCTGTCCAAAAATGTTGATCCAAGTTATATGGGGGGGTTGTTTTTTGTTTTTTCTATACAGGAAGTGGGTTAGATTAAAAAAATCATAAATGCACTGCACTGACTACGTGTTGTACGTTATCACGCATCAACACCAGACTGATTGATGAGTCGCTCATATCTCCTGTGCATCTGTTAAATGTCACCTCTCCCGCATACACATTGTTGTATTTCCTCATGAGTCATGCCAGTCACACAGCGGTGCGGACAGCACACTAATGATCCTCATTTTTTTGCGCTTGGAAAACAAATAAGCTAGTCAGCTGCTAAGTCTGATGACATGCTGAAAAGACATAATGTACACTTTTATTTAATGGCGCTGTAAAACCACGTCTGAGGACATTGTCTTCTTAGTTCGGACCTGAATCAAATGATGCATGAAGCATATGCAGGAAATGTGGAAGAACCAGTTTGACCCCATGGACACACAGTTACCATCAAGAGACTGGGGAATGTTAAGCATTTTTGTCCGGTGTACCGAATGTGCCTGCAGGAAGGAAAGATAGTGGCAATAATGATGTCTTACAAGAGATATAGCGCTGGTTTTAGTCCAAAACCTCCTAAGTAACAATTTGGTGAATTTCATATTTTTCCACAAATCTATAATATTGTTCTGTCCGCAAGTGTGGGTCTTATTAAAATAAATGGCTTGGTCTCATTGACAATGCAATGTTGAAAAAACATGCCGTTTTTCGGGGTTGCCTGAAAAGTGATTATTTTGGAGGTACGAGAATTCCGCCCAACGCCCACACTCTACTCTTCAAAAACAGTGGAATAGTGGGGTCACTTTCTTTTGCTGTAGACTGAAAAAAATTGAGTTTGACATTAAAATATATCAACATTTCAGCTTTTATTTCCAGGTACACGTGAAGCCCTGCTCAATAGCGGGTAATTGATTTGACAGTATCCAGTAGACCTACTTGTGGTTTGGCATTTGCTGATTCTATTCACGGATTTAAAAAATATATATATTTGTAACTGGGTTTTTACTTTCATTTTAAATTTTGGGAGCTGCAAACTCTTTTTTGATGGAAAGCACTTATTGGGTTTATATCTCTTCTTATTCACAAAAATTTGGATTTCTCCAATTGATTTGAATGACCATAATTTAAATCAAAAAGGTGAAAACTCAAAGCCATTGCAAAAACAAGTAATAAGCCATGGTGTCAGTTGCTGATGGATGGATTGACCATGGAACCCAACACCAGTTGATGAGATAAAGATTTTCAGACAAGAAAAAGACCCAATGATAACTTGACATTGGCAACAATCACCAGAGGTCAACAGTGAAGGAATCCCAATCTAATGTGTGCAGTATGGAAGCCACAAACCAATTATTAGCAAGAATAGGAAGGCTCGGCAGGAATTTGCCAAAAACTGCATGTAGACAGCCTCAACAATTTTAGAACCACTTTTTGTGGACTCGTGAGACAACGAACTTTTACTGAAGTCACGGAAAGGTTAAAATCTGTAGAAAATACGGATCCTCTGTGCAAAAGTGACAACTTTTCCCATATCTACACATATTTTACCACATGACTTACACCAGCTAGCAAGTGGCCAACAAGCCACTCTTGCTTGTTGAACCACCACTAAATGAGAATCAGCGCTTTGGGACGCAGACATTCTGTGGCTGGAGCAAAGACTGAAGTGACCCAAGTGCATGTCGGCAAAGCTGCAGTCAGTGTTGATGACTGCACAGATTAACATTTTCACCTTTCAAACATTGCCTGTACGATCAATGAAGGTCTTGATGGAACACAACAAACCAGTGTCCGGAAATGGATTGTGAGTAGCTTTTTCACCAGAAAAAAAGACACTGTCCTCAGGAATGAGAGTCTCCAACAAGTTTTTTAAATTGGACATTGCTTGCTTGTGTGACTGCTGCTTGGTTGTGCGTATTCCTGATGTCAACTTGAAACACTCACATGAGCACATTGCATTCAGACTCTACTTTTCCTAGCTCATTTGGCACCGGATTGTTCCAACCGACTTTCACGACATGCCTTGTATGTCTTTTTGACAGCTTTTTATTTCCGTCCCATCTCCTGCTGCTTTCTGAGGCTGGCCCTTTGCCCCCGTCTCTAACAGTGGGCGACTCGGGAAGACATCCTCCGTGGTGTCAGGTTTTCTTGTGTAATTTATTACATAAGATAACTTGAACAGACACAACATCCGTCTATTCAGAACAGCGCTGCTTGGAATAAAATTGCGTGACAAAAAAGCTGTCGCTGATTGGAGAAGAAAAAAGGATTGCAAGATGTAAACTTCAATCTGATCTTTGTATTAAAAGTAAAAGTAGAACAAGTGGGATCTCAATGTGAATGCGGTGTCTTCATGTGACCGGGAAACGACAAGCTGCATTCTGTACACTCTTCTACAGGCTCGTCAAAGAAAGGGAGTGTGAATCTGAACAATAAACAATACACTATTTATAACAGGAATTTCATTTAAAAAAAAAAAAAACTTGCTTTGATTCCCTTCCTGTGTCCACCCGAATGTCTGCACAAATCAGCCGTCTGAGAATAATTTCAGACTTGAATTATCACATGTACGGTAGGTGAAGCGTTTGTGGTCTTCAAAAAATGTTTTGTCCATTTCCTGCCCACAATAACATAAATGGAAGACATGAATCGTCTCATCATCCACCGAAATGTTATTGGCTAAAATGTAAACATTTAGTATGGTCGAGTATCTCATCAAATAGAAGATACTGTACATGCTGTTGCTTCTTAGAACGCCATAAAATAGTTACATGCTTCAAAGGTGTGTTTAGTCATGTGAAATATAAGCAATGTGGTCTTTGGTGTAGCATCATTAACCATAAAGAGGAATTACAGTCTTAATGGGTCCTAATGAACGCCCATACAGGTATATAGAGCTTCCACTCACAAATATTTGGAGTGATTTATCTGTCTATATATTTCTATTAATCTATTAATATCGTAAGTGCTTTTGTTTGGGTTTGCAAGATCATTTGGGTTGGAAATGATCACAAAACATTTTCAAAGCTATTTTATTTGGTGTTAAAAGCCTGGCGTGTGAAACAGTTGAATTTCAACTTAATACCTTTAATTACATGCTTTTAACGCCACATTAATATTGTGGCCATCCGTGTTGCACTCTGAGGCGGCCACAGCAGTGCAATGCCCAGGTGCCCTTGGAAGAAAATTCGACTGTGCCCACCTCTTTTTTTTCCCCAAAGTTCACCAACACCCGGCGATTATGCGGACGCCCAGCAACCATTCCCAAGCCGATTCACCAGCCAATGTTCATGGTGGCGCTGCGTGACCTTACGGCCGCCCAGGCAGCACTCTGAGGCGGGCTTACCAATGTGTGAAAAAAAATATCTATTTTTATTGTGTGAAAGCTGACACCAATAAAGCCATCCTCCACAAAATGTGCCTACACAGCACAATTCTTGTTCCAAAATAATGAACTTCTCCAAAAATACATTGAGGCAGTTTAGTCCTCGAGTCCTTTGAGGTTGGCAGCTGATGCAAGGTTTTAGTTTTGCACAAGTGTCGAATGTACTTCAGAACACCAAATTCAAATACGCTCATTTGGCAGGCCTTTGTCTCTCAAAGGCAATTGCATGCAACCTATGTTTAACCGATGTTAAGGATAAAAAAACGGGAGAAAAAAAATAGATTTTGATGGCATGGGACCTTTCGGCAAAAGTGCATTATTTCAAATTGGCAGTGTTAAAAGAAACGACAACACATTGATCCAATGTAAAATATATGTTTTCATGGAGGGCTGCAGATATCTGAGAATATTAACGTTCAAGAGCCCAGAATTCTAAGGCTTCGGACAATAAACAATAAACAAAACAAATTGTCAATGACCAATTAATGATCTACTAATCTGTCGAGAAATTCATTGTTGCATCTCTACCTACAAGTCACATTTAACTGCATAAGAGACACCTGCTTTCTGTGTTATCAAAAGTCGCAAAAAAATTAATTTGATAGAACGACACACATCGTTCCATAAAAGATAAATGCACTGTAATTATGATGCATGGCTATCTAGATTCGAGTTATGTGATGACTTGCGTAAAACAGAGACATGTGTTATGAGTCTTGTGTCATGACTCTTGTCATGAATTTCGTCTCATCACGCCTTGGCGTGTAATTTGCGTGCCGAATACAACAATGAGTCCTTTTAAAAAGTGCGCTGAGACGTGTACATACCCAGCTGATGCCGCGTATGGTCGGCGTGTCCACTGAGCTTCGGTCGGGGAATACTTGATACTTGTAACTCCTGCACAGATGCATCCTGTTTCACATCTGCACAGTGGACCAGAAGAAAATCGGGAAAGTTCCCCCAGTCACTCGACTTGCGCATGGGGCGCACACACCCTCATCAGACGATCATTCGGAGAAAAAAAAATGGGACCATGGTACCGCTCGCGGAGTTCGTATGCTCCAGCATCCCGAAGTTGGACTAGACTGTATTGCTCTGGGCCAAATCGTCGTGCTGCGTCACTGAGACAATCCTGCACAGGAGTGGCGTGCATGCGCGCTCGTGCACGCTTCGCCATACACGTGACCTTCCTTGGTCTTTTTTACCTCACTCCTTATGTCTTCATGATTGAAGCAGTACGACGGATAACGTTTAATTGATCATAAAGTTGACTTAAAATCAAAAAGCAAGTGCAGAGCACTGACAGTGATCACGTGACGATCACATTTACGGGGTGGGCCTCGTCGTCACATTGTTTACAAACGGTGTGGTTATCCTCAAGGTCGCCCTATTAGGCACACTCAGTTACCACATTATTACCATTTTTCTCGGTTTTTTTTTTTTGGGGGGGGGCGCTACCCTCGCAGTGTTTTTATTCAAAGAGTTAATGTAAATATTAACTTAATCACAGTAATCGTGGTAGAAAATAAAAATTAAGTACAAACACAGCAAAGGGTGGGCAACTATTTGCCCATCCGCCTCAGGTCAAAGTTCATGGGTTCTTATCTCGGCTCAAGCTTTCCATTATGGAGTTTGCATGATTCTTCCTATGTTTGTGTGGGTTTTCTGCGGGTACTCCGGTTTCCTCCCATGTTCTGTAATCATGGATGTTAGCTTAATTGAAGACTCAACATCAGGGTTGTCAAATTCGTTTATGTCACAGACCACTCCGTAGTTGTGATTTCCTTTGGATGGCTGTTATGACTGAACTCAAATGTTCAAATAAATAAAATAAATCCTCATGAGGATCGCGGCCATACCACAGCCTACCCCAGCCCGTCTTTGGGCAGTAGGCGGGGTATACCCCGCACTGGTTGTCAGCCAATCACAGCGCACACAAAGACAAACAACCATTCCGACTCACAACCACATCTCCTGAGTACCCGGAGAAAACCCACACAGGCACAAGGAGAACATGCAAAGTCCACACAGGAAGGCCGGTTTCAGAATCGAACACCAATTCTTGAAGCTGCCTGAGGTAACTGTTTTTAGATGATGAACAGCCTCACTCGTCATGCTTATCATGTTGTCCCAGCTTTAGGTTAGGGAAATATTTTGCTGGCTGTGGTGATGGCAAAGTTCTGGATATACGACAGTGCCTGTACGTCTCAGCTCAAGCTCAGTTTTGGTTCACTTTTTCTCACCATCGTCTGCACTTTGCTCTGCCATTAAACTGACATCCCAGCTTTATGGATCCATAAAGCTGCCTTTTGTGCCACCACAAGCATTCCGAGTGTGCTACCTCAAATGTGTTTGAAGCACAGAAGCAGGTGAGGGAACACATTTTTGCTTAGCTCACGAGGTGTTGCATCAATCATAATCGGAACACATGGTCAAATAAAAATAATTTGAAAGAGATGGTTTTATGCATCCTTAAATGTATTTATGAGACTATAATGGAAAAGTTTGACCCATAAAAGCTTGTGCAATAGGGAGTTCACACATTTTAATAGCTGACGTTTGAGATAAAAATTCCACCTGTTGCTGAACCTAACAATTAATTCATAAATATGACAAAGTATATTGCTATCTTGCATGTATTATTGCTACTCTTGTCTTTTGAAAATATGATGTCCTACATTAAAACCAACGGCAGATTTGGACTCTGCACAAAAAATTAAAAAAAATCACCCAGAGAAGTTTCCTTTCATGTCTAATTAAAATGTCATTAAAATTTGTTGACTAGTGTACAGTAATTAAAAATGAATCTCATGTGTTTTCTACCACCATTTTTTTTCAACTGAAATCCTCAGTACCTGATCCACTTTGGCCTCTACAAAATACATGGCCAAGAACGTTCAGCCTGAGAAGAATTGAGGAGTTAATGTGCTTCTTGTTGAAACAACAAAACATCTGCATGAAATGCGAATATGACTTTTTAATGTGTGTAGCTAGCGAGTGACGGACTACAGATCCTTCACAACACACACTTCAAGTCTCTCAATATAAGGCTAAATTGATGTCATTTTTTTTTAATAATAAAAAAATTCTTTGCTTGCTGCTGCCTGTTTCAAATTTAAAAAAAAAATCACTCAATCCATACATCAATCAATAAACATACAACTCCACACAGGAGAGTCCAAACAAAGATTCAGAACTTAAACTGTGAGACAGAAGAGATGACACTACCAGACAAACTTTTCCACAACAAGTCCTTTTAACTGTGTTCACTTCAAACGGATGTTCTTTTGTCCTTTCAGAAAAGATGTCTCAGAAAGCCAATGGAAAACACAAATCCTTTGACATTTAATGTGCTGTCTGCAATGAGGTCTCGTGAGGTGCACTGATGTCATGCATTGAGTCTGATGTCTAACATTTTTAAACAACATCATAGGGAAATTTTTAAAAGCTTTAATGTACCATTCAAGGTACCATTCTATAAGGCCGAACATATCACAAAGCACACGGAGGCATAAGCTCAAAAGGCCTGAAGAAATAAAATCATTTGACGTCATGCTATTTGAATTCTCTTTTCTATTAGACTCCTGAAGTTGCACTTAACTGTGCTTTACATTTCACGGGTTGCTGCCCTCTACTGTGAAGTTGAATAATAGCAACGTGCATTAAAATTAAAGGTCAAAGTTCAAAGAGTGAAGTACAAGAGAGAAAGCAAAACCAGCAACACTAAAACATAACCAGCGGTGGCAAGTAGCAAAGTACAAATACTTCACTATAATGCTTTCTGATGACCTTTTATTTAATATATTTGAAAACAGATGGGGCGGCACGGTGATTGACTGGTTAGCACGTCAACCTGACACTGCAGAGGTGCAGGGTTCGATTCCGGCTCCGGCCTTCCTGTGTGGGGTTTGCATGTTCTCCCTGTGTCTGAGTGGGTTTTCTCCGGGTACTCCGGTTTGCTCCCACATTCCAAAAACATGTGTGGCAGGTTCATGGAACACTCTAGATTGTTCCTAGGTGTGAATGTGAGAGCGACTGGTTCATTGATGTGTGCTCTGCGATTGGCTGGCAACCAGTTCAGGGTGTACTCCACCTACTGCCTGAAGGCCAGCTGGGATTGGCTCCAGCACGCCCGCCACCCTTGTGGGGATAAGAACATGGATGGATGGATGAAAACAGAGATGTATTTTTTACTCCTTTGTCTTGTTGATTTTTCACAAGGCTATTTGCAATAATCAAAGTAGGCCCTAGATGTTTTTCAAAAATGTTGCTTTGCGCCAACCTAAATACAATCAGCTTCGGGTGTTAAAACATGTAGGAAAATTACAATAGCTAGGAATGTAGTGTTTACCCCTTTCCTCCCCTCCCCGTTGTACAAACTTTTGGTATTGTATAAAATGTTTTTTTTTTTACTTGAACATTGTTCTGTAAGTAACTACAGTATATTTTAATGTTTGCGCTTCCAAGTACAGGAGTTGAATCTGTACCAAGTTTTTTTTTTCCACATGAACATACACTACAAAGTGTTAATTTTTCAACCGCTCTGAGCAAAACAAATGTTCATGTTGAAATCATGTTCAGAATTACATTAATTAAGGGTGGGGTGTGTGGTTGGGTATTTATGGTCATTATGTAATTCGGTGGGTGTTTGTGATCAAGTCTGTCTTTTGTGTTTATTTACATCCTTGCGTGTTTCTATTTGGATCCTTTAAGGAAGGGAGTGGGGTTTCCTGCGACTGATCAACGCCCATGGAATGTTTACTTTGCCAACTGTCTCTGGTGTGTGTCTTGTGACACACAAACACACCGGCACACATTTGTCAAGCTCTGTAAGTAGAGACAATTGGTTAAAGCCTTAATAACATCCGGATTATACTTACGTAACCATTTACTATTCCAACAACTAAACTAAACTACACATGAACCCGAGCCAATCTTTGTCATACGGTATTGACCGAAACACACACACAATAATGTCTCCCTGCCAGGTCAGGAAAAGGAAGGAAAACGTGCGCATGGGTGTGTGTGGTCAGTGCCGTTTGCCATAGACTGGCTCGTGTGTGTGTGCCTGTAAATGATATTACAGCTAATGGTGACACCAGCAAAAATTCACATTTTGATAATAAAACACATCCAAACACATGATGACACCCTTAACACTCTTAAAATACCCCCCCCCCACAAAAAAAAACAAAAAAACATTTTATGAGGACAAAATAGTTGTCTACTACAACAGAGTTCAACTAAGTAATTCGAATATAAGATTTATTTGTTTAGACAATGTGTGATGTGCAAATGCAGCTAATGAACATTGCTACAGACGGTATGTGATATTAATCAGCTGAAAAATATATTATTTGCAAACTGGCTAATATTCAAAGCAAAAATTGGGAATGATAAATATTTGGGAGTTGATCTTAAATCCCAAGTGTAATTTTAACATGTTCAGATTTAAATGGTGTCCAGACTTGGTTATTATTTTGAATTGATCACATAAAGTTAGATTAACTCGGCAAGGATGTCATTAATTCAGTTTTGCATTCATAGCTGCACTTCACTAGTTTGAGTAAGATGAGTCGCTTAGCTCACCTGGATTTTCACACGGTAAGTGAAATTAAATGAAATACTAGTTGCAAACAGCAAATGTGGCCATATCTGTACAGTAGCTTCTAAGCTAGCAGGCTATGGTAAAATTGACCTTGTTAGTGAAATGTTCATTCCCAAAGTAAAAGTAGTTGCAGCATGAATAGTAGTGAGTAAAAAACAAAGTGCAGGACTGTTTGCCTTTAAAAATGTGTTGAATAATTAGATTTAAAAAAAGTACTATAAGAGTTACTTCTGTTTTTCCCGAAACATTTCGACCACATTCAGAGCAACACAGGCTTTCTCAAATGGAGGATCGACAGTCAACGTCACTCGACAATTGCATCAACATCCCGGAAAAGAGAAAGGAAGTTACTTACATGAATGGTGTATTTGAGCTCAATATTTTTTACTGAAACACTTTGTGTGTGTGTTTTCAATGTTATCTCCGAGGTGTGAAAAACAAAACAGTACAAAGTGTTGATAAATTAAAATAAGACAATACAAAGTGTTGATAAATTTGAATAACATAATACAAACTGTTTATAAACCAAAACAACACAATATGAAGTGTTAATTAATTTAAATACAATACAAAAATGTGAGTCAATTGAGTTTACAATGAATTTAACTAAAAATGAGACTTCAATTTACCAGAGCTCACCTTCAACTACTGTACTGAGAAGAGTTTAAAAGGTCACCGCTAAGAGTTACTGTTCCTGAAACTTATATGGGGTCACGGTTGCACATGTACAGTACACCCAAATTTAGTTGATTTTACCTCTCGCCGAGATGCAAATTTGTTGTGTATGACATGATTTAAAGTGACAGATTAATTTGTATCAAATATTACTCGCGTCATCTGTCAAACAAGTACAAAAGAAGTGACTCACCGTGGGAGAGCTCGTGACATTCTTTTGCATATCCATAGTTTTGCAAATTGTCTTGTTTTTTTTTTGTATTTTTTTTTGCATGGCTTTTTTTTAACAGCTCTTCATCTGTTCCGTCCTATATGAAAGATAATTCTCCAGACAAACAAGGCTGTGTGATTTGTGAGCAGAGTTTGTGCAGATGACCTCTCTCTGATTGGCTGTGGAGCGTTAGCCTCAGGGGCATGAAGCATTTTCTTTCACATGGTGGCGACAAGTGGGCTTGTTGTGTAACTTGATTTAAAGCTAAGCTGGAAAAAAAATATACATGCATTAAACAGAACGGCACAATATTTGCGGGGAATAACTGATTCAAATCAGCACTTTGTCACTTCTTAATTGGCTTTCATTCCATTTCACATCATAATTGCATAGTCTTGATTACGTTTAAGAGGTACTATTGTTCCTCAACTATGTCCTGTGCAGATCAGCTGAGGAAAAAAACCCACAAAATAATCAGTCAGGATAATACATCAGACACATCCAATATCTCAGCCTTTGCCAGTTTTGGTCAGAAGGAAGGGAACGTTCAGGGAAAATTCAGAAATTTGACCCAATTATTGGTACTTATCAAGGGTTGAACAAGTAAAGATTTTGTGTCGTCGAAGCAAACGTGATAAAAGTTGGAAGTTGATTCCTGGATGACTTCCAAGTGATATTCTTTCAATACAGTACAGTGGTCCCCACCGTTTTTGGGTCATGGGCCAGTTCATATGAAAAAAATTTGATGCACCGGCATAGAAACGAATAAATCCATCCATCCAATTTAACAAGATAGAAACAGATAAAAATCATAATGATTTACTGATGATGCTGATTTAGTTCTGGAAAGGTCTAAAGTATTTACATTTTCACTTCCACAACATTCCAAGGAAACCCCAATGTTCCATTTTCACTCACCACTAACAATGACAAGTTGAGCTATTTTTGAAATAACTGGCCCATGAGTTACTCATGTGGTCTTCTGGGGCGACCTGGTGCCCACGGGCACACTATTGTTGACCCCTGATTTATAGTGATGGGACACATTTTTTTAAACCTAGACCTAGCTCGCTAATATTGACATGACTTGATATCAAAGAATTTGGCTCCACTGGCTTTGCTAACCTCACAAACTTCAGTCACAAATATTTTTTACATTTTATTTGTTCCATGCTTTTTCAGATGAGACAGAGATTCTGCGGTCATTCCGTGCCAAATCTGCCAGTGGGATTAACCAAGCAGATTTTGATCATGAAGTTGTGACCATTAATTTGACCTTGAAATTCAACTTGTGGATGACTCCTTTTTGCTGCTAAACAAAACACTTGTCAAAATAAATAGCGAAGAACAGATACCCGCGTACCTGATACGCTTTCCTCCTGGCTCGATCTTATTGCAACGCAAGTCTGCAGTAGCATTAGTCCACGTTATTAATTTATTGTTTTTATTGTTGTATATGTGATATTTGCTCTATCACGTTCTATACAGCGGTGGTTGTTTTAAAGTGCTCTATAAATACAGTTGATTTGAGTTCAGAGGAGTGATGTGAGGACAGACGGCTAAAAAGTTCAGAGTGGTGTTGTTAAGACAGACGGCAAACAGTTAATGTTGATTTTGCCTTTTCATGTTGCAACACTGCGGGGAGAATTACTCTCTTGCTGTTAGTGTGTCGTCTTTGTGGCGGCGAGAGCGAATCCGTCAGCTGTCTATCTCGCTGCGGTGTTGTTGATAATATATCTTCTTTTCATATTCGATGTTTTTACACGAAATTCCAAGACGCTCTTTTGGTATATAATTCGATCGCTCTCTTCGTTGACCGCAACAAAGCTTTGACCCTCTCCGGTTGTTCTCCCAAGGCCGTGCTCATGTTATTTACCTATACCCGTCGTTAGCATCGAGGCTATCGACTTACGTAATGTTGCGATAAGGTAAGCTGGCGAAGGATGGAGCTAGTTTAGCAACGTGTTTTTTTTAGAAGTAAACAGTGCGTTCTCTGTTCACACGCGCGTCCGAGGCGGTCGCTCGACTTCGATATGGCATACAAAAGGATATATATCAGCATAGGCTACGCTAGTTTTGGTGCCTTGGTTGGACTTTCGGCGTTTTTGGTGTGGAATATCGTTTATAATCAGCCATGGACGGCGGCTATGGGAGGCCTCTCAGGTACGTAAACGCGATTGTACTTGACAGACTAACCCTATCACCTTGTTTTCTTTAACTATTTCAAACAACAAACCAAGACCTGTGTTAACAAAACTGTAACTTCCTAAAAATGTGTCTTCGCGGAAGTACTGTTTTATAATGTTAATTAATGGTTTGCTCGCAATCAGGCCTTCTGGCCTTGTTGCATTCCTCACAGCATGACTTTTGCACCGTAGTTGTATTGCACAATTACGATTTACCATAACAGGAGGTACAATATGAATATTCTTCACATTTTAAAACAGCTCATAGGTGTCTGTTGTGTTTACTAATTTCCCTTAAATTGCTTGCTATTTAGGTGCAGGCACAGTTACAAATTATTTTGTTAAATGTGAGTGTTTCCTTTTAGAGTTTATGTGGAATTTATTCAACGCTTCATAATACTACTGATACATTCCGTTGTGTGTGGCCTCAATATATACACTATTTCCTCTTGTAGAAGCCTCTGCTGTTGTAATTGCCGCGCCTGGACAAATTGCCCTCCATGTCATCCTGTTTTATAAAAAGCAGGGCAAAAATCCCAAAATAAACGACTCTGGTTTTCCTCACAGAGTGATGCGAAATGGCCGGCAATATCTTTATTATGGCCCCTTATCCGACCATCATTGCACAACTGTTGCAAACTTGGCACGGTTTCAGTGGCGTTTACATCAAAGTTGGTTTGTCTTTGGGGGAAGTTGTCTTTTTTTATGTGTGAAAGTTTTTGGTAAAAGGCCTCAATGAGGAACTACAAATTACGAAAAATTACAAGTATAAGACCGTTTGTCATGTGAAACTAGACCTCAAAAGGAAATAGACTTTTTTTTTTTATAGGAAAGACAGATAAATGGCAAGAATCGAGGAAGACTGGGTTGGATATACATTGCCTAACTCCCCAAAGCTGATGGCTTCCGGCTTTTTTTTTTTTTTTGGTCACCCCTAGTTGAAGACAACTGTAAAACAAAAGAAAATCATCCACTGTTTATTTAAACACCTAGCTATTCAACCAAACCATATTTAGTCTAACGAAAGTCCCCTATGGTTATGAGAAACACTTGAGATGGCCTGATGTGAAATTCGCATGTTAGAGAATTTTACTACCTTGAACACACACGGAGCAGCAACACAAAGTACAGAACAATCCTCACAGGCAAATCACTGTTGTCGTGAAATAACATAATACAAACCCAATTCCATTGAGGTTTAATATGCGCTGTTGTGTGTTTGACAGGCGTGTTGGCGCTCTGGGCTTTGGTCACACACATCATGTACCTTCAGGACTACTGGCGCACATGGCTCAAAGGCCTCAAGCTCTTTATCTGCGTCGGCTTGCTCTTCGGTGTCCTCTCCATGACAGCCCTCATCACCTTCTTGACGCTGGCCATCACACAGAAGCAATGTAAGAGCCTTCCATGCCACGACTTGTTTTCGGCAAAGAAGCCGAGCAATAATATTTGTTTGTGTACCGCAGCTCTGACTGATCCGAGGAGTCTGTATCTGTCATCCGTGTGGAGCTTCCTGACTCTGAAGTGGTCCTCCCTCTTGGTCTTGTACTCGTTTCGATATCGTCAGGAGTTTGCAGACATCAGCATCCTCAGTGATTTTTAGATGGGTGTGACAGACTTTGAGGGTCCTCCGGCTTGGGCTCGAAGACTTTCTTTTTCAGAACTGAAGGATTTGTGTAGGTAAAATAGTCACTGACTTTGACCATCAGGACGTGCACTTGTGTCATTGTGTTTATGTTGTGGCTAACACTCTTTTCTTGTTCTTGAATGCATGTCTCAACCTCAAGGCTCCTTTCTGTTACGTTTTTTTAATCATCATCTTTGCTAGATTTTAAGCAAATGCTTTTTGCTCCGTTCCAGGAAAAAAACCCAGGCTGTTTATAATGAGGCCAAAAACGGAAAAAAATTCAAACAGGCAGGCCAACCAGAGACCCAACTATTTGAATACAAGCAATTAATAAGTCAACTTTCCACAATATGTCCTCTTAAAATGTCTACTGTAGACAAGCAGTTCAAAATGATGACAGAACTTTCAGAACGTGCTTCTTCCAGTGACATCATCTTCTCTGTGCAGCGCTGTTTTCAGAAAACATTGACAGCTATGGGTTTTTTTTCTTTGCAAGTGGCTTTACCAAACAACAGAATTCGAAAACAGTGTGTTAGCCAAAATGGCAATGGAGCACCACAAGGATGATTTGTTTTTAAAAAAACTACTCATGTATTTGTACTTCAACTGCTTATGTGGTTCAAGTGACGTGACTGCAATTATGTTTTGGGGGGTTTCAACTGGCAAAATTATATCATGATAAATGTCACAAAAAAAAAAACACGCTTGGAATCAAATGTACAGTGTAGATATAACTGACACCTGCTGAAATACATTTGGGGATGTTTTTTTGTTTTGTTAATCCTCAAAAATCTTTAAAAATAACGTATCTATCAATATTTTCCAAGAAAAATGGTCAGGGGGGTTTAACACAAAACCCATTCAACTACTAGCGCTAAAGCATAGATCATAAAATATGGTTTAAATATGCTACATAGGAGGTGTGTCAATCATTAAATAAGGAAAGTAATTGCCAACAGCTGAAACCATGCAATGTTTTACATATATGTCGTATGATTTATGAATTATGCTTATGTGTTCACATTTTAAACCACCCTACGTACTGATGAAAGGCTTGCACAATGTTGTTTTTGATGAGCCCCGCCAGCACAAACAATTGGCGAGCATGTGTGTAGCCCTGCTTTACAAGGTGACATTGTCAACTACCGGCACTGTTTCTGGCATGCAGACTCACATGTTGTTGATCTGTGTGAACACAATCTTGGACTCTGCTCACAGGCTAGCAGTTTTCTTTGCTGTGCTTCATCTCAGTTGTAGCGCCGCACATGTTCAATGCTCTACTGTATGTCGTCGCAGAGCCATGCACATTTTGAGCAATGTCACAAAAGAAGGCAGTGTAGAGGTAACAGATCCCGAGTTAGATATGTAGTACATCGTCTTTGCAAGAACACATCTGTTTTTAAGCATTAAGATAAATTATTGTGTTGGGTGATTATAGAAACATGAATTATAATCTTATTAACCTCTGAGCTCCTTTCTTATTTTATTCAAATGTGACCGCGGCCATCTTTCAGACACTTTAATGTATAATGCTTTGGACTATTGTTTACATTCTCCAAGATTCTTCGTATGCTTTTGCGTGACCAGAGCAGCACTGTGCAAGTTGCTTTTCAGGTCCACCAGGGGGAGAACCGCCCTCACATTTCTCCTGTAGATGAACGCTCAATGCACTTTAATATCGACGCTATTGTTGGCAAACACATTCCATCATATTTGTTGTTTTGCCTGCTATTCATGTGCGTGGCCATGTTGAAAATGAGAGGTGGAAGATGTATCATTTTAAAATATCTTGAAGTGTTTTTGCGAATGAGTGCAGGAATCTCCGAAGTGTGCATTACTGAATTTCATGTATGTTGTCTCACCCTAATAATAAAGTGATTCAGCTCCTCAACAAAGTTGAATGCGTTTTATTCAAGTGGGCCTACAAGGTCGTTGTCTTCACTGGTTTAACAGACAATGTGTTACTCGGATCAGTGTGAAAATGTTTACTTTTACCAATTATACAATTGACCAACATTGACAATGTTAATTTTTTTTAAATATATATTTATATGTAGCAATTAGAACCCCCAGTAAAGGATGTTATTTAATTGCGTTGTACTGTATTTTAATCACAAAGTCGTCGTCGTATGGGTTGTGAACCGGCTATAAGTGGGCTTTACAGTATTTTGTTTGCGTGTCCCTTCACACTGGCAGTTTGTTGACGTGTACTTCGTTATTGTCAAGAGCACATGTTGGTTGAGCTATCATTTGCCCAAATTTTCAAAATATGGTTAACTGTTAAAGCTTGGTGGAAGTCTGCACTTTACTCTGTGCCTTTCCAGTTAAGTCATGTTGCAATGCTTTTGCCGCTGAAATCGAGCAGCAGGTTTACAGGTTGCTGGACTTCCGGTGGATGTATGAGGCTATTAACAAATCATTTTAAAGTATTCTGGCAACATCTGCTGCTGAACACCTCTTCTTCTCAGCAGGAAATTGGCACAAGTGATTTCGGGGCTTGTGTCACCATCAGCTTGAATTTGGGTCTCCAGCGTGTATTTAATCACTTGCAACTCTTTCTCTGAGGACTCATTTGGAGACACATCATTCACATCATATTAAGAAATATTGATATTGAAAAATGTCGTTTGTAATTTATGGTAGAGAATTATGGGAAGTTCTGCATCATTTTTAAATCTAAAAATTCGAATCGTACCTTGAACAAATGGATTACAGTACAGTATTCACGATGTCGTCTTAAACATCACTCCACATGTACTTACTGAGCTCCATTTTTTTTGTTTCACTGTAGTAACCCAACATAACCACAGGATGACACTGTGGGTTAATTGTAAAATCTTAGCAGGTTCTTGAAGAACAAACTGAAATCTGAGTTTAACCCTCAAGGAAATCATGAAAGACAAAACTTTAAAGCTGCAACTGAAGCTATTTGAAAGCAAACGGGGTTGTTAAAGTGTTGTGATCTATTTTCCTGTGATCCATATATATTGAGCAAAGGGAGGGTGATTGCTGAGCTGGGACTGTTGCACCTCAGTGGCCTTACACATGAAGATGCAAATGAAAGGGGAGTGTGAAATTAAAACCATCGGTTCCAGGAACACCCTTGACGCTACGCCACACAGCACCCGATTTCTGCACATCCAGGACTTACAGCCTTTCTATATTTTTATCAAGATACATGAAACTCTACATAACTCTAGAGAGGGCTTGACATGGAAATTGACAGATAGCATGCGTGTGCCATCTGCCAGTGTAAATGTCAATTCAGTGTCAGGTTCGATCTCTGATCATGCATGACATCAGCGACTGCTTCATCTTTACATGACAATAAGTCTGCCTCTTGTGGAGCTCGGCCTCCTTAATGACGCACCTGAAAGGAAGGCCCGGCAGCCACTTGTGTGTGAAAATGCTCAGTTTCTGTGTTTCCAAAGTCAGATATTTTTATTGTCATGATCATCCAAGAGGAGCTTCCTGGGACCTCAGTTAGATTGCAGCACAAAAGAATCATCCAGGCCTAGCGTGGCGCCTGCGAGTCTTTGGAGCGCAGAGCTCATCATTCCCCATCGTTGAACCCACAGCAGGTAATAATGTCATGGGATTATGAAAAATACAACTCACCATTCCACTTAGAGCTGTTGTGCCTGGTACTTGTTTCCCCTTCGATGAGCTGGTCCAATCTTGGGGTAATGGGATCCAGTGGCACAAGTGTGCTGCTTATGTCCGATCCTTGACGTACAAAGTAATTTTGTTTTGGTCGCTGTCATTGGGAGAAATTTCCACTTGACAAAGATAGACTGTTGGAAACGGAAGAAAGGAATTCTGCGCTTTTTGGCACTCTCTGGATATTTTTGCCTTTTTTCCCCCCCAGATCACAACTCCATGTGTCAGGAGTTGTGAAGGATTCATTTTTTTCATTTGCGAGCTGGCGCAGAGCGGGCTTGTTGCTTGAGAATCATCTGTAGTGATAACCCCATATTTTTAGTACAAATGTGTCAGTTGTCTTTAAAATGCAGCTTTGATTTAGTTGGAAGTTTAAAGTTCTTTTTCTTTATCATTTGGCATTTTCCATTTGGCATGACAAGAGTGATTTACCTTTTTTTTTTTTTGTAATTTTTGTAAGCTTGTGGGCTCACATTTTTATATACTGTGTCATATGATTAGGATGATCAATGAAATATTTTTTGTTCAGTCTTGTGTTAGGTACCAAATGGCGCGCGGATGGGTTGGGAACTAGTCCACACAACACATCAATCAGTCATCAACCAAAATAGACTAATGTCCTAATATCATTCTTGGTAGACAATACTTACGACATTTTGTAAATGTAATGTACAACAGTTCCCACTCATGAAATTGATGTCGTTGATAGTTATGCTGTACTTCAAGATGCTCGTCTACGGTACACATGAACCCTTTCAGGGACAGTGTTTACTACAGTAGACGGCTTATCATGTTATTAGGTTACAGGTTATCGTTATTGGTGCATGAAAGGGTTAAAAACATTGTACTCGTTCGTAAATGATTCATGTGCTCGATATCATCCTGACAGATGCTGCCCATGGTCAGTAGGTTGTTTTCTGTAATTTATAGACCGGGTATGCCATGCATAGAAAAATGAAATAATGTGGTTGCACAAGTGTGCACACCTTCTTACAACTTGTGATGTTTCTGTGATCAAAACTAACCAATCACATTCAAAATCTTTCCTCTAACAGTTCAAAGGACCATGTCACTATCGACAGGCTTGGCGCAAAGCAGGCTGCATAATTAGTTCTCTTCCATGCCAGACAGACACGAAGCCGGAACAACCTTTGGTGCCAGGGCCTGGTTCCAATGCATCTGTCAGCCCCAAGTCACCAACCCATGGGTGAGCCAAAACGTTCAGCAGTCATGCAAAAAAAAAACATGATTCCTGTTGGAAGTGCTTTATTTGCTCTGTTGAGTATTATAGTACATCACCTACTTTTTGTCCAGTCACTCTCAAGTCAAGAATAGCCTTGTCTAATTTTCAGTTATTACCTCGTAACTGGGGAGGGAGCGAACCCTGGGACGACAACTCTTCTGGCTCCGGCGTGAGATACGCAAGACAATGTAGAGTGTGGAGACGGCGGCAAGCAAGGTTCCCCCGAAGCCCAACAGGATCCCATACAGAAGAGGGAGTGCCACGTCCAAAGGGCCCGTGGAGTACGCAGGGACTGGGGGTCGCTCCACAATCAAATCGAGGTCGCGCCAAGTCAAATCGGATGCTAACATATACCCACAAACATGCACATAATGAATAGTTAGGCACAAAGGTGTGAGATGTGTGGAGGAGCACCTTTTAGACAAACACGTTCAAATTGTTTCCCAGGGGAATTGCCACATTATACAGGTGATGATTACTTTGTTTAATTCCTTGGAAATAGAGTATAGTAATGAGTTGCAACTGCTCACACCAAATCTAATCCAGGACAGAAACAAAGGCTATGTTCAGTTTTTTCCCCCATATGTGACACATATCTGATTTATTCATGCAAAGTGAATAGTATAAAATCGACTTTTATTTTCAAAACATTTCTACCTCCTCCCCGACTCACTCTTCAATGGCATTTCTGTTGGGAGGTGCTTCAATTTAACAGAAGACTGAGGAAGTTGCAAATAGAGAAATTAGAAGAGCCCTCCACACAGGACCACATTCGTTTCCATAAATACTTTACTACATGACAACTTGATTATGTGCATGCATGTTACTTCAGATGCATTCCATTCACATTAGAAGTTGCATACTGTCAGGCAGAATCATTGTGCCACAAAAAGAATCACTTTACAGAAGACCCCCCCCCCCCAAAAAAAAAAAAACTATGTCTGTTTGACTCCGTCAAAGACAGTAAGCCATTTTAGATTGGTCAATAATTCGTGAATAACACACACACATGTGTAGACTGGAAAAAAAAAAAATGTAATTTTGTGACATACGTTTTGGAGACACCAGCGATATTAGTTGAACAAAAAATCCGAATTGGGCATCTCACCGCAGTGTGAACCTAGCCTAAGGAAGAATACATTTTGGAGTCCAGTGAAACATATCGCAGTTTGTCATTTATGAAGGGAGGATTACACAGAAGCCCTTCTTTACATCCATATGGGGCATGCTCGGATGGATTGTTCTCCAGCAATCAATTTGAGTTCACAGTGCAACTAATTAATGCATCTTTTTTGTTTCTCAGCCGACAAGTGGAAGATGGTAAACTCAGAGTGTTAAAAAAACAGCCTACATACCAGCGATGTGCTTCTTCAAACAAAGTTGTTCTGTTTCTTGGTAACATCATTTGATAATAATAATACTGTAATAATTATACTCTGGCATACTCCAGTCGTAATCACTATGCACAACACAGCTGAGAAAGGCAGTGAGCTGGCACGAATAAGAGCTGAAAATGGAAATGGCACCCCCCCCCCACCCCACACACACTCACTCCATATGGTTAAATTGGCTTAATTTTAACAAATCAGAGGTCAACCCGCATGCCAAAATGAGCTTGGTTCATCCTTGTAGGTTGCACTGCATTTATGCAGATTAATGTAAGCAACACACAACAAGGTGATGTGCCGGTGAGGCAATGCTCCCAATTTCCTCTCATGCAAAATCACTCACCTCTTTTCTGTCTTTTCGTTTCGCCTGTTTCTGGTTCCGCCTCTTCGAAGTTCATGGACTTGATAAACTCATGATAGCCTTCGGCATAACGTTTTAGGTTTAAAATTTTATCCTGGTTGATGTTCTTGCCCAGTTCTGAGGAGAAAAAAACATGATGATTGAAATGCCAAAAAATGCATCTAAAGAGGTACTTTATGCAACATTAAGGGCTCTATTTAGCGAATGGCATCAACCATGCATGGTGCGTGGCGTAACTCCAGGTCCGCAGGCGAATTAGACCCGGTGTTGGTCATTTGAAAGATGGTCACAGGCCAGCGGACCTGAGCGAGGTAGGTCTGCGCCACTGTTGGAGTGACCACAGCCCACTTCAATCATCTGCAATCCAAGCGGCTACTCTCATTCCGTTGTAATCTGGCGCACGAGTCTAACAGTGTCAACATGGTGGAGTGCAGAAACGTTTTTTTTGACATGGGCGGAGCTGCCACGTGCAGGTCCAAAAAATTTGAAGTGGGTACTGTTCATGTTCCCCAGGCATCCATAGCTGTGCCAGCCTGTGGAGTGATTTAAAAAATAATAACTTTGATGACAATATTGATAATAATTCATTCAGTTTGATGCCCACTTTACATATATTTGTGAATTAAACACATCTGATATCCACCACGTATCTCAGCGGAGCTCAGTATCTACTTGGGACTCAATCGAACTTTCAACCCAGCAGTCTATCCCGTGCTGGTATGTCGACACAGTCTGAGCACACTTGAGTTCAGATCAACTTTCTGGCACCAATTTGTCACTTTACCGGGTACCCTCCAACTCCATCGCCTTGTCGACACCAGCACACCCAGTTTGGCAGGAATTGGTGTTTGGTCTATGATCAGTGAGCCTTGCGCTGGCACAATAAAGATGAAAATAGAGCCCGATGTGTTGTAATTGTTATCTTTTGGACGGTGCACATTAATGTCGATATGAAAAGATCGTTTTGGACCAGAAATTGATGGTGTTTTGTATTTTGGTGCATTCTGTATCCGCCCCACATTTTTCATGAAAGATGCCACCATCTCCCTCGTGCCTCGCCTTGTCATCGCCTGCCTTTTGCTGATGAAAGGAGCAGATGGTTTCCTTGGTGGCTCGTGTCAACTCCAATGAGTCCTCCGTCAGATCATTTACACCTTCGTCTTGGCCACACTGGACGACAACACATGCCAGAAACTGGCAGCGTGCAAAAAAAAAAAAAAAAGCCACTTCTGAAGCTCCAATTAAAACCCATCATGACATAATGAAGCAATTATATGCCGGCGTTTAAAGTCTTCAAGGAGGCATTCTTGACTGGATTAAAGAAGCGCTTGTAAAAATACAACCACCAAGCAGCCACATCGGGCTTTGTTCCAATTTGCGGTTGTCGAGGGACATGCTGTGATTTCCCCTTGTGAGGTTTGTTATCAACAGTTCGTTGTACAAACAAAGTCAAATCTTTTTATTTGAAGCTTATTACATCAGTAGGCTCCCCATAAAAGCAATCCCAAATGACACTATGAAATGTTACAGAGGCAAAGTACTCGTGAATAACGGACTGCACGGTTCCGAGGGCAACAATGTTACAGCTCAGATCCTATCCTTGAGCGGCTAATCATCTGCTTCACTGTAAACTGTTAATATATAATCCATTTTAAGGGGGATAAGATGTCATTCAAAACCAAGCATACCGAAGTATCGGACAATATTTTGTTGAAAAACCATCAGTTGATAAAATCTTCCTTTTAGTTTGAAGATGATTCGTTGACAATCATGGCCCATTTTCTGAACGGCTTTATCCTCACAAGGGTCGCAGGGCGTGCTAGAGCCTATCCCAGACGTCTTCGGGCAGTAGGTGGGGGACACCCTGAACCGGTTGCCAGCCAATCACAGGGCACACAGAGACAAACAACCATCCGTGCTCACACTCACACCAAGGGACAATTTTGAGTGTTCAATCAGCCTGCCATGCATGTTTTTGGAATGTGGGAGGAAACCGGAGTACCCGGAGAAAACCCACGCAGGCACAGGGAGAACATGCAAACTCTACACAGGAAGGCCGGAGCTGCAATCGAACCCGGTACTTCTGCACTGTGAGGTCGACATAGTGGACCACCGTTTGACATTAAATCCTCCCCATTGGCTCGAACCCTAACCCAAACAGTTAATAGAGGTCAATTACAACTTTCTTCTTCTATTCTTCTTAACTCATTTTAAGCGTGCACGGCACCGCACAGCCCCTAAGAAGCCGCCACGCACACAGCAGGAACAGCCAGTATGTTTTCATTGTTTCTACTTGCTATAATTTTAGTATATTTTTATTTTTATGTAATTAGCATTTGATTTTCTGGTTGTTCTTTTCAGAGCATTTGATTGTTCATTCTGTCACTATATGTCAGTGGCATAGATAAATGATCAAAGATATATTTGAAATCAAAGAATTTTCAGACAAATTCATTGAAATTGGATCATCGAAACTCTTACCGTTGGCGATGTCTGCTCTGCCGATGTGGTGCAAGGCCCGAGTAAGTCGGTCATAGTACATCTCTGGATCGCTTTTTTGAAGCCTCTCTTTCAGGTCCTTACGACACTTAGCCTCACTTTCTAGTAGAACATAAAATGTGTGGGTCTTATTTACACACGTTTCAATGGATGAATTTTGATACAGAACCTCTGAAGTCAAACAAACATTGCTATAGTTGTACAGAGACTTTTTCAGACAAGTATGCCTCGAAAGAGGAATTCAAACCACTGTCATGTAAGATGTCACACAAGACCACAGCAAATCTCACCAGGCCTCATCTCAGCGTTTTGCTTTTTTGTGACTTTTTTTGGTTCTTTTTGCAACACCTGCAGTATTCCAATCATATATGATGTCACATAGGACATCACTGTACTAATGATTCAGTTCGACTTTATTTACACAGCACTTTAAAAACCAGAGCTGCATAAAAAGTGTTGGACAAAAAGTAAAAATAGAAACAGTTAAAAGACTACATTATTCACATAAAATCACTACAGTAAACACAATAAAACATGAAAACAATGCCGGGTCTCATGCTGAGTCAAATGCCAAAGAATAAAAATAAAATAAAAATGAATTATAATGCTCGACACAGAGGGACGCTTGCCTGACGTTTAGCGGGAAGTCATTCCAGGGGAGGGACGAGCAACGGAAAAAGCTCAATCCCCTCTGAGGTCAAAGCAGTTGAGTGCTGACCTTCAAGTGAAGAGGTGTCTCTCTTGACAATACGTTGCGCGATTTCTTCTTCTGAATTAGAGAGTGAAACCAGGAGGTCCTCGCACTCAGAAGGCGCCAGCAGTTCCACCAGACGCTCCAGCTGATGGACACCGATATCTTCAGCCACTAAACAGCCACACCGTGCACTGATTATAGACGAGTCATTGATCCACTTCAGCACCATCTCAAAAGTGCGACTTTAGTAAAATTTCTCAACAGAGGAATTAGCAAGTGAGCATGCAGCACATTTTTTTCCCAAGTTTCAACGCTTATTAGAATCCGAATGGGTCATGTTCTCATAATACACACAAACCTGTGTCCTCTTCCTCTTCCTCTTCAAGTGCCAAACTTTGGGCAAAAAGGAGTAAGAACAGACCAAATTTCCAGACTTGCATGGCATCTGAAAGAACAATCAGATGTTAACGTTATGATTTACAAAGTGTCAGTGACACATGTCAGTTCAATTTTATTTGTAGAGCACTTAACAAAACAACCACACAAAATGCTGCACAAAAACAAAACCCAAAACATTAAAACAGTTATCACAATAAAACATCGAAACAATGCAGAATCTCATGCTGAGGCAAAAGGCAAATAAAAATCTGTTTATCATCAACTACATCTACCACAATGGCACCAAAACCCTATACCGTAGCTACACATTTGACCACATGAGCACAAAATTGTACATCTCCTTGTACATGGTTCACGACGGTTGCTAAATTTCAGCAATTGTTCATTGTTAAATAAAAATAGCAAAATTCATGTCCATATCTGCACCTTTATTTGGATTTGTACCAAAAATGTAATGGGGTTCTTGTGTATTTCAATGTAAATACAATGCTAGCAGTTTTGATAAGTAGGTTAGTGCCGCCTGTTTTATTCAATATTTGTGGAGTAATTTGTGAATTATAAGCAATTCTAAGTAAATGAGCATAGTTTTTAATTTTATCTATGTATTCTCGCATTAATTTAGCTTTTCAATCAATTATTTTGTTAATTGTCTGATGAACTATTAATTGAATACAAAATCCCCTCATGAAATAATGGATTTAAAATTTAATTTTATTCTTAAAATAAACAATTATTCATATTTTACATGTAAAAAATGTGGACCATGGGCACAAAGTTTGCCGGCCTTACATCTCGCTGACTTTCGATTACGAATAGAAACTGTATGGATAAAAACCTTGCTTTCACCTGTCAATCAGTGTTCATCCATGAGCTCTGGATTCGACTCTTTTGGACTACTTTCTTCTTCTGCGCACCTTTTACCCTTATATTCTGGCAAATTTATTGCATGTTTTAACCGAACTCTTCGGTTTCATGAAGCATGTCGACATTTCTGAAGTCTGAGATTGTAAAGACCGACCAATCAAACCAAACATTCCTACTGCAAAATGTCGCCAAGTCCCTGCAACTAAACTACGTAATGGCGAAGAGTTTGACGAGTTTGTGACGTTTCACGGTCTCCTAACATCTTTTCCAAAGTTTATTCTGGTAAGCAGTGCATTGACGTTGCATCGCCACCTTGTCGTCATTAGTTTGGTGTGATTAAGTGGATAAAAAAAAAAGTCTGATCTTGGTTCGCCCGCTGCGTCGTGTGTTTGAAGCTTTTTCGAGGGGGGTTGATTTTGACGTGATGACGCGTGCTCAGGAGTGGTTTGAAGAGTGTCAAAGGCAATCCTCAATAAGGTCATCTAATAGAATGTATGCAACTTTTTTCTTTCAGGAAATGGATATGATTCTTACCGCATATTCACTTGTGATCACTTAAATCATTACTGCACCAAATCCTATCCAGTTTGTCATTTATCAGTGAGAAATTATTCGAGTGTACCACGGAAAATTAAACAGTTTGACTAAATTGTTATTTTTTTCTTTTCAATTGTTTACAATCCTAAAATTACTCCGACAAATATTGTACATTGTTCATCTATCCATGCCAGTGACCTATTTGTAAAGTGCCAGTCAGGTCAATTCAATTCCATTAGATACCAGAAATTGACCTAGTTGTTCCACTTTTTGTTTGGTGCTTTGCCACTGGGGGTTTTCGAAAGTAAAATATGTGCCTTGGGTCAATGAAGGCTGAGAAATACTGCATTACTTCCTGGAACACTTTTTAAATAAACTTCCATTTTCCATGTTGGCCATAGCGCATGGCCAACATGAAAATACAGTAGTGTAATAAGCCCAAGGCATATGTTTTATTCGTTAAAAGTATATCACTGCTCACTCGTTTTCTGAACTTGAGCCCTGGGCAACTGTGATGTCATTTTCAGTGGACAGCAGGTGGCAAAATGTCCACCTTCTGAGATGGACAAAAATGGGTGGATTTGACTGCTTAACTCATATTCCACAAACACTGTACTGTATTCATCGGAATGCTGTGCTGAGACTACTGGTGCTCCAGAGAAAATATTCATGGAAAGACATTTTTAGGTTGACTTCCCCTTTAAATCACTACAAGTATTTCAAGAGGGATGAATTTTAGTGCTGATGAAATTTTTACATGTAGACCTATGATAAAGTGCCAATGTTCAGCCCAATGAAGTGTCCATTTAAAGTCTGTATTAATGTGTATGAATGTTGTCAATGTATGTTCTTTTAGTAATTTTGGTAAGCTACTTTTGTTTTCTCTGCTTTGCTTGTGAATGTCATGAGCTGTTGTGTTTGAATTGCCCTGTGTATGAAATGTGTTATATAAATAAAGCTGCCTTGCCTTGCCTTCGTTGTTTTAGGAGTAACCTCCACTTTTTGCCATCACAGCCTGTTACAAATGCGACAGTATCTTGTGGTTTGAAATGCTGAATAAGGCCACCCAGAATAATTGCTATCAAAAGTTAGTTTGTATCTCCCTTCAATTTCTTGCTGTTGGTTCATAAGATGTTTTCTTTCATGCTTATATGTTTGACTGTATTTCATGCATCGGCAACATGGTGGTCGACTGGTTAGCATGCCCACTTCACAGTGCAGAAGTGCAGGGTTCAATTCCGGCTCCGACCTTCCTGTGTGGAGTTTGCATGTTCTCCCCATGCCTGCGTGGGTTTTCTCCGGGTACTCCGATTTCCTCCCACATTTCAAAAACATGCATGGCAGGTTAATGGAACACTCGAAATTGTCCCAAGGTATGATTGTGATGGCAAATTTTTGTTAGTCTATGTGTGCCCTGCGATTGGCTGGCGACCAGTTCAGGGTGATACACTGCCTACTGCCCAAAGACAGCTGCGATAGGTTCCAGCAAGCTCGCGACCCTTGTGAGGACAAGCGTTTCGGATAATGGATGGATGGATGGATCGATGTATTTCATGCTGCATTTTATTGGTGTGAAAATATATAATATATAATGTATAAAATATATAAACAATTCTTTTTTGTACCTCTAGAGGGAGCCAGACTTTCACAATCACTGGTGTATTTTGTTGCTGGGTTGTATTTGCTTTGCTGTATCTGGCTCAATTTGACTTGAATCTGTGTAGAGTACAGTCAAATCTCAAGATTAGATATTGTACTCTGTGACTGACTGGTGACTAGTTATTGGTATCATCAGGTTTTCACTGAAAGTCAGCTGGGTTAAGCTCCACATGGCTGTGACCCTAAACTGGACAAGCGGTATATCCAAAATAGGTGGATGGATTATTGAATAATTTACTTCTAGTAATCAAGTCAATCTATGCACTTGAATTATTCAAATGACAAGGATAAAACAAACAAACAAAACAAAACATGTAAAATAAAGGTGTTATAGGAACTGGTGAAGGTTTTGTTTGAAGTGCTTGCTTCAGGATGCAACCATTACTAATGCTGATAGGATTTACATTTTGTATGTGGGCACTTGTTTTTGTCTGCTTGGAGAAAGAAAGTGCTATTTATTCAGTTTTTAGGGTGAGCATGTGTGATAAATCCATTTTGTTACTAGCCTCTTCCATGTGAGGCGCCCAAGCTGCACTGTAGCCAAATTAATAATTACGTCCTCCCCTTTTCAGACAAAGAAAGCACGTGGCTTTAATTTAATGCAAAACCGCAAATATGTCTTTTTTTTATGACACAGTGAGGTGATAGCAGATTGGCGCAGCAGCACTCCTGAAATTGTGTAAGAGACTACAACGGTGGGCACACAGAATACATTATTCAACTTAGGTTGAGTGACACGACATCACCGTGTAGGGCTGCAGCAAGGGCATATGTTAAATTGCTAATAAGCTCCATTTGCCCTAATTGGGCAAGGTTGATTCTCCAGGCCAAGCCTTAAATTTGAGATTTTGAGGCCTGAATACAAGGAAAATTAGAGTTTGTGTGTGTGTGTGTGTGTGTGTGTGTGTGTGTGTGTGTGTGTGTGTGTGTGTGTGTGTGTGTGTGTGTGTGTTTGTGTGTGTGTGGCGTTGTGACCAAATATGACAAAGGAACTATTATTTGTAGAATCAGGAAGTAGAAGTTTGATTTATCAAAGTCTACTGGTGTATTAAAAGTGTATTAAAAGTAATAGAAAAAATACAATTTGGTACCACATAAGAAATGTATGTACATTGACCTACTGTATCTTTGCCTTAAATTTATTATATGACTTCACAGTGTGTGTGAAATGGTCAGACAAAAGTGTTACATATTTTTTTTTCTCAACTAGTGGCACATAATTGTATTAATTCTAAATGAAAAACTTCACTTTATGTATATATAATACTGTATGTATGTATGTATGTAAAGGTATGTGCACCATAAATTATAATCCACACATGACACACAAAGAATAAAATAACCGAAACTTTTAAGTGCAGATCTAAGATGTAGGGAGTTTCTTTTATTCCTTATTTTTGCAGCAAAACGCCACAATTCACAAAAAAAGTTACTTTTTTTAATCATTTGCACATAGAACAAGAGAGACTGGAGCAAGGTCAGAAATTTGATGTAACAGAAATGCTGAAGCAACTTGTGCACTAACAACTTGCAACGTGTTCCGAACCAAACTGAGAAGAGCACCTTCTTGAGTTGGTGGTCCGGTGTGCAGCCTCCATGTCTCGTACACTTCACGCCACTGAAATCTGGTTATGTACACTCACAGACTCCGGTGGAATGAAGGATAGAACACATGGAATGTTCCTCTTGAAAGGGATGCGAAAATAAAATAGTTTTGTTGTCTTGTCTAATTTATACCCTCTTCTCCCAGAAAGGCCCAAAGGTTGAGGCGTGGCGACTACGAGGAGCGGCTTGACGATGGTTCACCAAATGATGGGCGGTGATGATGGTGAGTGGAGTAAAAAGTTCAGATGTTTGCCTCATCTTCTCGAGTTTGAAATCTGAGACTCGACAAGACCGGGCTCACATTTTGTTGTGGTTCGAGGGTCTCTGGCTCCAGGTCAGAGCCCAGTGTTGATTTGCAACCGGACACCAGTCACAGCCCCTCACCCAAAGCCTTCACATGCATCCGAATTTTACTTTGAAGTAAATATGTGCAGGACTCTCCAGGTCCACTGACACAAACATGAATGCTTTATCCTAAAAAACAAAAACAAATCAAAGACACAGTGATGATTAAACTTTTTACACGTTCCTAACTTTGCTGCTGTAAATTGGGAATTTCTCCATTGTGAGATGAATAAAGGTTTTCTTATTCTTATTCTTCTTAATTGTAAAAGCAATACCTTACCTTTTCTGCTCCCTTTACAAATGTGTCAAAATGAAACAAACACTCAAACCGAGTTTTCTTACTGACTGCAGATGCAAGCGACAAAGCACTGTCAGTGTTTTCTCTACCTGACTCAGGTATACGGTGCTTTAGAATTCGGAGCCAACCAATGGGATGCAAGCACCCGCAAAGGGCCACCCACACTTTTCCCCGACCACAAACAACCACACCCAGCAACGCGAGTGCAGACGGAGTGACAAAGTATTCAGAACGAAATAATCCAAGATAAAAGGGAATAGCTGTCGTTGTAAAATTGTCCTGTTTCAGCGCTCTCGTAACACCTCTTTTTCCTCTTCAGAGGTTTTGCGGCAAGATTGGCAGGAAAGACAAAATGAAGTAAAGTAGATATTCATGTCATATTCATTCAATAATAAAAACCCTGTGCAGTATTCCATGTCCTCCCATGGAAAATTGCTGATCTTTGTCCCGCCTTCACTGCGCCCAGACTAAAACCAGTGTCTTCAGAGTACCTTCAAACCTATTCTCATTAAAAAAAAAATGAAAACACAAGTTGATTCCTTTAAGAAGAAGTTTCTAAAAGATATATACTTATTAAATATTTGAACAATTCTTGATGAAATATTTGAAGAATCCCATTCAAGTGGTCGTACTGGTGATTAGTGCGAAAGGGCCAAAACAATGACAGTCTCATTTTTGTGTGAATGTTATGAAGATCCTCAACATTGTAGAGTTTAGCACAGAAGCAGTAACATTATGGTCATAAAAACAACAAAAAAACATACTTAAGATCGTAATAGTATGACTTTATTTTATTGCTTTAATCCAGTGAGGTTTTTCTTGTAATATTGCAATTTGATGTGAACAATTCTTAGAATTTTTTTGACTTTATCATTGCATTACTGGATTTTTCTTTTCGTGTTTTTTCTTTTTTACAGCTTGACAGAATCTATAGATGCATATCCCATTCAAGTTCCGACATGCAATTCAGCCATCCAAGATACACAACATCCTAACAGACAGTTTGTGAAATAGCATTTTTGCAAGTACACCTAAGTACCTCTAATCTTAAGTAAGTAGAAGGTATTAAAACAACAACAAAAAAAACCCCACGAACAACAGTACAACAAAACAGAAAGGGGAATCATTTCTCAGTCAACAAAATGGTCTCCTTCAGCTGCAGCTGCAACCCCCTCTTTAAGCCTTACGTGAAAAATGGGGCGACACCCGCCATTCCTTACTGTGAAAGGAACAACTTTTTGAAAAGCATTCTTTCTTCTCACAATAGGCGGATTTTGGGGGTGGTGCCGAGGAGGGGGAGGAGGCGGGGGGTGTGGTGGGACAAGAGTGAGGGCACATTCCTAAACGGAGCCTCACCTGATGGGATGTTTCATAAGAGAGTGTCCCCATTCCAGCTCAGTCATCCTCATGTGTGGTTTTATTGACAAGCAAACCACCATCTTTGAGTTCCCAATAAGTACCTTTTGATGTTCTTTCTCAATTACACTGGACCCTTTATGAGTGTACACAATCCATTCTGAGATGCCGCCACCCTCTCATTTGTTCACATTTTAGCACCCATCTATCCATAAGAAATTGAAATTGAATGGAACCAATCTGTTCCTGGGAAAAACTGACACCATCTGAATGCCTTTATCCATGAAAATGTGATGAATTTGCAGATAGAGTATGCAAGTCGCCGAAAAAACCCACAGTTTGTAGTGCACATTTCCTTCTTGTATTAATTTGGGACGAAGAGGTATGGTCTGTGCAAAAAGTGATTCCAATCCGTGGGTCCTTAGAAGCGTTGAGGTAAACTATGGACACATTGGAAGGCCATTCTTTTGACAGTATTTTATTGTGATTGCGTTTTTACCAAGCACAGCCAATGTTTCGTTTTCTTTCACGAGTCTTTGAGTATAAAACAGAAACAACAAAACAACTATTCAGATGGAGACCTTTTTTCTTCTTCCTGGCTTCAAATCAAATTCACTGCATGTTAAACCTCCCTTTGAATAAGATTAAAGTGATTATTTTCATGTTAAAATTTTCCATTTGTTTCGGATGTTTCTGACAGTTACAACAATTTGCATGTATTTGTGTGAGCCTTCTTTTAAGGCTCTGCAGCCTGAGGCCGCCCTGCGGTGTTTCTCTCTACCTTGATACTCCCCTCTCCTCTCAGCACCTCCGTGGCGGCTGATGTTACGACTTGCTCAGGCAGGAATGCACCCTTGCTGCTAATGCACTTTTATGTCCAAGCCCATTTGACAATAAGTAGCGCCGTCATTTTCAAGCATAAATATTTCAGTCTCCATTTGGATGCAGATTTGTGGCGACACACCCAGAATACAAATGGCCTGCGCCTCCATCGGAAAATACCCAAGGCGTGGTACCCTTCCGCAAAGACGGTAGAGCATGATTAGGTCTTAAAATCAAACATTCATCCAAACTGCATGTCAGTTAGTTTAGATTTCTCTCCATTCTACCCTTTGCTGGCTATCAGGTGCTCGAGAGGAAATTATGATGATCCACGAATACAGATATAACCAATTTCATTCCCTTCTATGTTCAAATGCACAATGTGCAATATTGCTGAAAAAATAACTTTGAGATCATATGTACCACATATAATGTCTGTGTGATGAGAAGTAAAAAAAAAAAAAATCTCTTACATAGCTTTTAAAATGCTAATTCAAAAGCATTGAAACTGACAACAACGATGATTATCGAAAATTCAACATTTTATAAACATACAGCCTTTTTTTTCATCCATTTCCAACATTTTTATTCAAGAGAACAACAAATGCAGAACAATATAAAATAACACAGTGAACTACAAACAAATCCTCAGGATCTTGAAATATGAACATAATTTTTTAAATTATGATCCTACATAAGACGTTAATATCATCGCCACTTGCTGCTTCGTCCGATGGCTGCCGGGTACTTATTAGCGGCTAAAATGCTAACGTTTATGTCGGCAGGCTGCGCAAACTCTGCTCGCATTTTCATGCCTTCCCCTTCATCACTCGGATGCTACTTGTTCAAAATGATTCAACAGATTTCTTGTATTCCCTTCTTTCTGACGACGTAACTTGCACAACAGAATCCTCCTCCACGTCGCTCGGGAGCTCACGCCACAAAAGCTTGTCAAACTCCCGTCACCTTCGCAAGATTACGCCAAGTATTGGCTGCCCATCATTGCTGCCCATCATTGTTACTATTACTTTCTGTTTACTGCTTCCTCTGTCATTTATTGGCAGATTCTGTTTACTTCAACTTGCAAGACAAAGTTACAAAAATGTAAAAAAAAAAATCTGTTTCTGTGCGGCCCGATACCTAACGGTGGTGATCGGGAACAACTCGCCTAGCCGTCCTAAGCGTTGATACCACACAAGGATTTGCAACTTTGTTTAAAATTTCCCAATGATGGCCCTGGCGTTTTTCCAAGCTGTTTGGGGAGTAGGGGGAATTTACTCTTTACAGACCCGACACTACAGAAGAATCGGTCAGAATAATCTTGTGAGACTTCCAATCGTCAGGCCTTTGTTGACTTAATCATGGGTATATTTATTAGGAAGGGTGTTGTTAGGTTCATACGGGCAATGAAATATCTTTGTCTATTTGTTTTGGCAATCTGCAACCATTTGAAATGCGGGTTAGCGATTTCTACTGGACATACTCTTAATATAACAGCAAGGACCCGGAAATACCGTGTAAGAGGTGAAATCGTGAGCTAGTTGGACCGTACTGTCTTCGTGCTTGTCATCTGTGACTTTTCAGTTGCTTGTCATTTTCCCTGCTGTATGTAGTATGGTTGGATTTTTCCAACAACACATCTTCATTTGAAACTCAGCTTTAATCCATGGCAAAGGGAGGGGTAAAAGCAACACGTTGTAACAAGTGATGAACTGAGAACACCGAATTTGATTTCACCGCCAGAATAACAATCCATCCAGCCGTGCACCAATTTTTGTTTTTAGAGTGAAGATGAAGTCGATCTCGGTGACTGGGAAAATGACGGGGTTTCCCCTACACTGATCAGATATCATCAGACTGCAAATATGATTTGATTCATCCAGTTAAGTACCCTTGGTGCACACTTAAAATTGTGTTTAATCAATGGACTGCGAATGGCTCGTCAAAACAATCGCTGTATTGCGCGACACAACAGACCCAAGATTCGTTCTGGCTTCAATTTGCTCTCCAAATGATCCTTTCAAAAGGACGTGCACCAATACAAGCTTCCAACAACTCATTTATGAAGGTGCACTGCAACCTGACTGAACGAGCCCGGACTTGTCTGCTTCTCAAAACCTGCTTCCTTCTCCGCTAAACCTTTTCCTGTATAGAAACCGGCGACATTTCAGCTTGCTGGAGCTACTGATTCGTACCGGTTTGTTTGGAATCACAGTGTATAGGCATCAGTGTCTGCAGAGGGATGGGGGGGGGGCGGGGGGGCGTTGAGAGTTGACTCATTTCAGGCCCTATCTCTCAGTGCGGGGAGAGTTTGTGGGTGATTTGGGTTTTTTTTTTTTCTTCAGGGCTCGTTCAAGGTCGTTCAATTGGTCGTGATGCGTTTGCCAACAATTGGAATGGTCTCAAACTGTTTTTCTTGTTGTAAAGAAATTGAACATGTTCAACATTTTATTGCGACTTGACAAACTATGACCATTAAGACTATTTGGGAATGTCTGGCGAACGAATACTGACAAAAACAAAACAAAACGTGTGCATACACTTGCAAAACGTTAGCTTGACATGAAGACGTTGTAATGTCACCAATTGCATCCTCTCATTATTTGAATAGTACATGAAGAGCAAAATGACTGACTTCGCTGCGGCCAACTGTACGTTTTATTGCGCAAAGTTTCAATCGCATAGCCGGGAATCAATTCTGTATTGACGCATTCCTCCACATCTTTTCTATCTTTCCTGCTGGCGCAATTGTGCATACGTTCTGCTTTAAATGTGAATAAGGACAGACAACTTGGTTTGGGGTGTGATTGACAGGATATCACATTTGTTCTGAAGAGCGGCACGTTCAAGCTAGTCCCATACTCTTGATTTTAGCCTGCAGTGAAATATTTATTTTTCACTCATTCGAACCTTTGAA